CCTCCGTCCGTTGGGGGTGAGTGTGCTCTTGGCACGGACGTCCTTGAGGACAGGCACGAGGACCTTGAGTGTCTTGCAGCCGCTGCGCCTCATCTCGTGTCCATGCTGCTTGCCCCTGAGGGAGACCCGGATGCACCAGACATCCCGACCCCGCGCTATTACGCTGAGGCGATCGCGGGTGAGTACTCCTCTCAGTGGCAGACAGCCATGGACGCAGAGATGGCATCCTGGAAGTCCGCAGGCACTTACGTTGACGAGGTTCCCCTTCCTGGGGCGAACATCGTCAGTTGCATGTGGATTTTCAGGGTGAAGCGGCCGCCAGGTTCTCCGCCTGTCTTCAAGGCTCGTTACGTTGCTCGAGGTTTCAGTCAGCGAGAGGGAGTAGACTTCTTTCAGACCTTCTCCCCCACCCCGAAGATGACCACTCTTCGGGTGCTGCTGCACGTTGCCGCTCAGCGTGACTACGAGCTTCACTCTCTTGACTTCAGCACAACTTTCTTACAGGGCAGCCTGCACGAGGAGATCTTGCTGCGCCACCCTCCTGGCTTCACTGGGTCGTTCCCTCCTGGTACCAAGTGGAGCCTCCGGCGGCCAGTCTATGGTCTCCGCCAGGCACCACGTGAGTGGCACGACACACTGAGGACTACACTTGCGGCTCTTGGGTTTGCTCCGTCGACTGCTGACCCGTCGCTGTTTCTGCGCACCGACACTTCGCTGCCGCCGTTCTACATCCTCGTGTACGTCGACGACTTGGTCTTCTCCAGTGCTGACACTGAGGCTCTCGCCCTGGTGAAGTCGGAGCTGCAGAAGAGACACACGTGCACAGACCTGGGTGAACTGCGCAGCTACCTTGGCTTGCAGATCACCCGGGACAGAGCACAGCGCACCATCACCTTGACCCTGTCACACATGGTGCAGCAGGTCCTTCAGCGCTTCGGCTTCACCTGGTCCTCGCCACAGCACACTCCTCTGGCTACAGGCCACTCGCTCTCAGCTCCACCTTCGGACGAGTCCGAAGAGCCGAGTGGCCCGTACCCAGAGCTAGTGGGCTGCCTCATGTACCTGATGACCTGCACTCGACCTGACCTTGCGTACCCTCTTGGCCTTCTGGCTCGCTACGTGGCTCCTGGTCAGCACCGAAAGGTGCACATGGATGCTACAAAGAGGGTACTGCACTACTTGTGCGGTACATCGGGCATGGGGCTCGTGCTTGGAGGGCGGAGCGCAGTTGTCCTCACTGGGCACTCAGACGCTTCTTGGGTTGACGACCAGGCTACGCAGCGGTCGTCACAGGGTTACACCTTCAGCCTTGGCTCTGGTTCAGTTTCTTGGCGTTCTACATGCTCGTCTTCTGTTCTCAGCTCCAGTTGTGAGGCTGAGATCTACGCCACAGCCATGGCTGCACAGGAGTTACGCTGGCTCACCTGCCTGCTGACCGACTTGGGAGAGCGGCCTTTTTCTCCTCCAGTGCTGTACGTCGACAACAAGGCCGCCATTGCCTTGTGTCAGGAGCACAGACTGGAGCACAGAACGAAGCACATCGCTCTGCGTTACTTCCTGGCTCGAGAGTTGCAGCAGCGTGGTCAGCTTCGTCTTGCTCACGTGGCCACTCGGGCCAACACTGCTGATATATTCACCAAGGCACTTCCGTCTGGTAATCATCAGCGTTTCTGCACTTTGTTAGGCCTTGTGCCCACTTTGCCTCACTTGCTGTAGACTTTGCTTGTACTGTGATCTATATATATATACCTGCATGACTGTTCTGCTAGGTAGAGATCACTGTGCTGTTGTTGTTGCTGAATATATACCTCTGCATGTGAACTGGCCTTGTGGCCCTTAGCTTGTGCTCAGTGTGTGTGGTGACGTTGTGATCCACCGTGAGCTTGCTTTGCTTCTCTTGACTGGTCTTGTGACCCCTTGCTCTCCCCCACTTTGCCTATGGGGGTGTGTCATATGTTACATCTGCTATATATGTTTAGGCTGTAGTGGGGTAGCCAATATGGGGTACAGCCCACTTTAGGGTTTCATATTTGTACCCAACTCTTTCATAGTTCAATCATTCCTGCTGCTAGATTCTAACAGGCACATGGAGGTCCGGGCAACCTCCATGACCAGGCTGATGCGTCGCTCGGCTACCCCGTTCTGCTGGGGCGAATCAGGTAGCGTGTAAGACTGGATGATCCCCCGACCCTGACAGAATGTCTCCAGGCGAGTGGAAGAAAACTCACCACCACGGTCCGAGTGTAGGCGGAGTCCACACAGGCCCTGGACGCCACCCCTCGCTAGTAGCCACGGCTCAAGGACGGTGGGCACGTCGGCCTTCCGTCGCAAGGGGAAAACCGTGGTGTAGCGGGAGTAGTCGTCCACCACAATCAGGAAGTAGCGCTCCTGCCGTGGGCCACGGACCGGGGAGGGGCCCCAGACGTCCAAGTGCAGGGTCTGTAAGGGAGCCATGGTGGGGGGGAACGAGGAGGAGTGAGGGGCAGCGCGCTGCCGACCCTCGACGCAGGGAGTGCACGGCGGCGCAGGCGAGCGAGGAAGCGGGGCAAGCGACTCTGGGAGACCTGAGACCAGACGGTGACGTACCATCCTACTGAGATGTGGGAACGACAGGTGACCGAGACGGTGGTGCCAGAGGACCGACGGGTGGGTGAGTGACCGACAGTCGCACGACACAGCAGCTACCTGACCTGACCTGACCTGACCTGACCCAGTGTGGTGGGACCCAGTGTGTAGTGAGTACAAACCAGAGCCTGGCTCCCTTTGGAAAGTGGCTAGAGGCGCCCCAGTGACATCGACTGTGCAGGAGGCAACAGGCTCGTGCAGTGGGACATTGGTGACAACTCCGAGGTCGTGGAGGTGACTGACACCCACCAGGTTCCTAGAGAACGAGGGGGTGTAGTAACCTGTGAGAAACCCAGAGGGAGCCACTGGACACAGGAGAGTGGTGGTGCTCTCGGCAACTACAGATCCTACGAAGGGGTCAGCCAAGGCGACAGTGACTGGAGTGTGCAGTGGCGTGAGGTCGGTGCAGTCGCGAAAGAAACAGCTGGACGCTCCAGAGTCTAGGGTGAAAGAAAGCCGTGCAGTCGGTGAGGTCGCACCCGAGCCAGCGACAAAGGCTGGTACTAGTCTAGTGGTGGCTGCAGCTCCCACACTAAGAACCTCTGAGGCGCCTGGACCGGAAACTACACACGCACCAAGACTGGAAACACAAGGCTAAATAGCAGATGCAGCTCCCACGTACCGGTGTGTGTACTGGCCGGGTCCGTCAGGGCCCCGCTGTAGAGGTGTCTGCAGGCGCTGCAGCTGAACCCGCCACTGCTGCAGCTGCGGCCACCTGTGCTGCTACCGCTGCCACTGTTGCTGCTGAGACCACTGCTGTTGCTGCGGCTGTCGCCACATCGACATGGCACGCTAGTACGGGGGTAGGGGTCAGTCGAGGTGTTAGTACTAATGGTTGGTTGGCCTAGGCTGATGCTGGCGCGACTGAAAGTGGCCTAAGCTGCTGCTGATGATACTGGTGGCAGTCTAGGCTGCTGCTAGTGCTCTGGCGGCAGTGGAAGCTGCTACTGGTGCTACTGGTGGCAGCCTATACTGCTGAGCGGCCGATCTCTGCAGCGACCTTGTTCACTGACAACAAGGCGTCGATTCTCCTCTGTCGAGAGCCGCGACTGGAGAGCAGAGTGAAGCACATCAATGTCAGGTACTTTCTTCTGTGAAAGTTGCAGAGGCGTGGACATGTTCGCTTCGACTTTGTGGAGTCCGAGGCCAACACTGCAGACATCTTCACCAAGGCCCTTCCGCCTTGTGACCACCAGAGGTGTTGTGTGCAGTTAGGTCCGGTTGACACATGTTCTCACCTTGTGTAGTCTTGAGTTATCTGCTTGGTTTGTTTGTACGCTTTATATATACTCTTGAACTGGCCTTGTGGCTCTTTTGCTTGTTCTCAGAGTGTGTGGTGACATTGTGATCCACCCTGAGCTTAGTTGCTTTGTGACCGGTCTTGTGACCGTACGTTGTTGGTTTTGCTTGACACCCCTCACTTAGGCTATGGGGGTGTGTCAGATGTTATAGTGGTGATGTGTGTCATATGGGGTACAACAGTTAGGGTTAGGTTTATGTACCCCAACCAACCTTAGTGAAATGATCATTCTGTTCTTGACAGTGAGCTAGCTTGACATGCTCATTTCCATACTTTTTCTAAAGAATCTTGTGTTTGTGAGCTGGTAGATGGTTTTATACAAGTGTGTCCCCCCTGCATAAATAGCGCGGTGTTTTTTCTGGAAAATGTTTCTATAAATGCAGAATGAGCCCTCTAACATTGAGGTGGCGTGGGCTGATAAAATTGACCAGTTGGCTTTTTTTTTTTTTTCTTTAGTTCGATAACAGTTTGCTGCATTCTATTCTGAACATCAACGCTTGCAGCGATTTGCCGATCAGATCCAACACGTCACGCTAATATCGCGTCCAGTTGCTCTCAAATTCGTGATGTCCACCGCTCCCTCCAATAATCCCCAGATCACTGCAAGGCATGGAGTCCGAACCGAATCAGGCGTGGAGTCTGATCAGCGTGGCGTTGCGTCGCTAGGGGCGGTGGAACCTAGAAGCAGCATGCCGGGATTCCAGGGAACAGACTGGCCCAGAGCAGCAGCCAGTTTGCTTCCCTGGAGCAGACTGGCGTAGTGGTTCCTGGCTTAGTGGGTTTTTAGTGGTTCCGCAGAAGGTCTTGGCTAGCAGGCGTTCGACCGTGAGATGCTGCTCGAACCACTGCCGTACGACGGGTACTGGGTTCGGTGTGACAAATTTTATTGTCTAGGTGCCTCAGAAATATGTCTCATGACTGGACTTACCTTGTTAAGACCAGTGCTAGGTTGTGAGTTAGGAAGATAAGCATTAGGTGCTGCATATTCGCTTGAAAGGCTTTCATTAGAGAGAAAGGTTGGTCAGGCTTGAAAGCCTTTCAGAGGTGAAGAGCCGTCCGTGAGAGATAAGACGCCATGGATTCAGGGAGAGGTGATGCCGGCATGGGGTTTGTGGAGGCGGAGGATTTCGGGCAGCACGTGGACTTGACGCAGCGGATTCGCGAAGTGCTCGCGAATTACCCCGAGGGTACCACGATTCTTAAGGAGCTGATTCAAAACGCCGACGACGCTGGCGCTTCCAAGGTTCGTTAGAATTTGAGTCATCTCTCGTTGGAAAGCCAGATGGTTGATTCCTGATTCAATCTCGAGGGTTCCACGACTCTCAAGGAGCTGATCTGATTCAGAACGCCGACTATGCTGGCGCTTCCAAGGTTCGTTATGATTTCGTTGACGCCAGAACAATTCTGAGGTATTATGCTGATGGGTTAAATTAGATGCTTAAAGAGATTGACGGACGGACTTGACCAGATGCCTGATGGCGTTGACCGACTTGACCAGATGCCTGATGGCGTTGACCGACTTGACCAGATGCCTGATGATGCCTCCTCTGCCCTGCACTCTTCACCCAATCCATCCCCAATCCAACAGGTCTCTTTCTGCCTGGACCATCGCACGCACGGCTCGGGATCGTCTCGTCTACGCGCCCCTCGCCCAGTTCCAGGGCGCTGCGCTGCTCGTTTCAGATGAGGATTTGGCTTGATGCGCCTTCATCCCTCTCATATCCGCTCCGCACTCCACTCCTCAGTTCTCCAATCTCCCCAATTCCCAATAACCCCGATTCCCCAACTTCCGCCTCAGGTGTCCTTCTGTCTGGACCATCCCACGCATGGATCGGCATCGCTCGCCTACGCGCCCCTCGCCCAGTGCCAGGGCCCTGCACTGCTCGTGCACAACGACGCTGTCTTCTCGGATGAGGACTTTCCCTGATGCTCCTCAAGCATCCTCTCATCCCCTCTCCACTCCCCAATCCTCTATCTCCCAATTCCTTGATCCCCGATTCCCCCCAATCCATGGTACTCTATACACCAATCCTCGATCCCCAATCCCCGGTGTCTGACCACCCCCAGGTGTCCTTCTGTCTGGACCATCGCACGCACGGCACGGCGTCGCTCGCCTCCGCGCCTCTCGCCCAGTTCCAGGGCGCTGCGCTGCTCGTGCACAACGGCGCTGTTTTTTCAGATGAGGATTTTGCAAGCATCTCACGGGTGGGAGACAGCGGCAAGCGCAAGCAGTCCTGGAAGACCGGCCGATTTGGGTGGGTTGGTGTCTATGACAACTATTACTTATAATCAGGTATAGAATGGTGTTTCACGTTTGCTGCTGGTGCAAATTGCATCAATGCTGCTTCAGTGTCGCCTCTCCCCCTCATTTCATCCCCATGGAGTGAAACTATATCACATATTCATCTCACAGACCTCCCTTGTCTCATCCCCTCTTCTTTCCTTCCAACTTCTCTTTCTGTGTTCCGTTGCCTTCCTTCATTTTCCTCCCCACCCCTCCTTTTTCCCTCCCCTCCCCTTCTGTCCCGTCCTCCACTCCCTCCCTCACTTCCCCCCCCACAGCTTCGGATTCAACTCAGTCTATCATCTCATGGACCTCCCTTCCTTCGTCAACCGTCAGTTTGTCACCTTCCCTCCCTCCCTCCTCCCACTCCCCATTGTTCCCCCTTCCTCTTCACCCCCCTCCCCACCCCTCATCGCTTCCCCCTCACAGCATCGGATTCAACTCAGTCTATCATCTCACGGACCTCCCCTCTTTTGTCAGCCGTCAGTTCGTCACTTTCTTCGACCCGCACTGCGCCTACCTGCCCCGCGTCTCCGCAGCCAATCCGGGCAAGAGAATAGATTTCGTCGCTGCCCGAGCGGCGATGGCAGCGCAGCGGGACCAGTTCTCCCCGTACTGTGCATTTGGGTGCGACATGCTGAGACCGTTTGCAGGGACGCTGTTCCGGTTTCCGCTGCGAACGGAGGAGCAGGCTGGAAAGAGCAAGCTGTCACGGCAGGCGTACAATGCAGCTGACATGGCGGCTCTGTTGAGGGAGTTTGAGGTGCGTTTGTGTGTGTGTGTGTGCGTGTGTGTGTGTGTGTGTGTGTGCGTGTGTGTGTGTGTGCGTGTGTGTGTGTGTGCATGTGAGCGTGCGTGTGTGTGTGTGTGTGTGTGTGTGATTAGTGGCAATTCTTTGCTCTGCTGGATAGGTAGATGATTTTTGGGTGCGACATAGGGACGCTGTTTCAGTTCCCGCTCGCGGGAGGGACGGAGGAGGAGGCGCTCGCGGGTGAGCAAGCTGTCAAGGCAGGCGTACGATGCCGCTAACATGGCTGCTCTGTTGAGGGTGTTCTTAATGCTTTCTTTCTTCCCTTCTCCTCCATACTCACGTTCCCTGTCTTCCCAAGCCGATCACTGCTCTCCTCAAGCACGTGGAGCGAGTGGATGTGTTGGAGTGGCATCAGGGAAAGTCGTGCCCTTATCCACCTCACCTCTCCATCCCTCCCTCCCTCCCTCCCACCCTCCTCCTTGTAGGCCGAGGCGGTCTCCTCTTTGCTCTTCCTCAAGCACGTGGAGCGAGTGGACGTGTTGGAGTGGCATCAGGGCGCCACCGCCCCGGTGCCTCTCTTCTCCTGCCGCATCTCCTCCCCCGACTCCCCCCTCCGCTTCCACCGCCAAGCCTTCTCCCGCCTCGCCCGCCCTGCTGCCGCTGCTGGTGCTGCTGCCGGCGCTGCTGCTGCCGGTGCCGCGGTTGGAGGTCGGGCTTCAGGAGGTGGAGGGGGAGCAGGGGCAGGGGTGGTTGCGAGTGAGAAGGACAGCACGGATTTCTACGAGATTGGGTTTGTCAGCGAGTCGTTTTCCCCAGGAAGCGCATCTGAAACTGTTGGGGGGACTAAGGAGGCGGCTGGGGTGGGTGAGAAGGGGAGAGGGAGGAGGGAGGAGCGGTACTTTGTGTCGCAGAGGATGGGAGGGGCGCTGGGAACGGTGGGGCGCATGGCAAGGCGAGCAGCGGAGGAGTATGATATTCACCTGGTGCCGTGGGCGTCTGTGGCTGCTAGAGTGGGCTGTGAAGGAGACACACCAGACGCACCGGGCGCCTCTTTCCAGGTGAGATTGAAAATGGCATGGCGAAGCGAAAAGCAGCGGAGTATGATATTCGCCTGGTGTCATGGGCGAGGGCGTCTGTGGCTGCTAGAGTGGTGTGTGAGGGGGACACTGAAGGGGCAACGGATGGGCCTTTCCAGGTGAGCGAGCAGCGGAAGAGTATGATATTCACCAGATGCAGCAGAAGCGTACCTGGCCCAGTGGGCGTCTGTGGCTGCTAGAGTGGGCTGTGAAGGAGACACACCAGACGCACCGGGCGCCTCTTTCCAGGTGAGATTGAAAATGTCATGGCGAAGCGAAAAGCAGCGGAAGAGTATGATATTCACCTGGCCCAATGGGCGTCTGTGGCTACGAGTGTGAGGGGGGCACTGACGCACCAGATGCACCCGAAACTCTCTTCCAGTCCAGGTGAATTTCCGCTCGTTTTCTCTTCCGACCTCCGTTCCCCGCTTTCCGCCCGTCGTTCCCCACCTCCCTGCCTGTCCTTCTTTCTTCAGAGCCGCCCATCTGCTTCCTGCCTCTCCCAGTGCGTTCCAATCCAACCTTGCAATGCACATCAACAGCCGCGTTGCTCTCTTGTTCAGCATCCTATTTCCCCCTTGTTCCACTCTCCCTGGTAACCTCCCCGGTCAATCGAATCCCAGGGCCGGGCGTTCTGCTTCCGCCTCTCCCAGTGCGCCCCAACCTCCCAGTGCATACCAACGACCACTTTCAGCTCTCCTCCAGCGTTCTTACCCATCGCCACCTCCCCATTCCCCCCCGTTCTGCCCTCTGTCTGTCTATCACCATCCCCATGCCAGGGCCGGGCCTTCTGCTTCCTGCCTCTCCCAGTGCGCCCCAACCTCCCAGTGCACATCAACGGTTACTTTGAGCTCTCCTCCAACCGCCGAGACATCTGGTTCGGCGAGGATATGGACAGAGCTGGCCGCCTCCGCTCCCAGTGGAACGCCGCCCTGCTGCAGCTCGTTGCCGCCCCGGCGTACCTGGATCTGATTCTCGAAGCCGCCCAGCGAATCGGGCCGCGAGCGGAGTATTTTTGACTGTTTCCCGCGGGCCCCACCTCGGAGCCCTGGCTTGGGATGGTCGGGCAGCTGTATAAAAGTTTTGCAAAGCTGCCCGTTTTGTATTCCAGAGGCCCTCAGGAGTTGCTAGCTGGGGTTGGGGCAGGTGGAGCTGGTGCTGCTGCTGGTTTGACTGGTCCTGCTGCCGGTGCTGCTGCTGCGGGTGGTGGTGCTGGTGGTATTGCTGGTTTAATGGTGAGGGTGGGAGGAGGATCAAAGGGCGAAGCAGCTTATAAAGGGGACGGAAGCTGGGTGTCTCCTGCCACTGCTGTGTTCAGCGATGAGGAATTCCGCGATCCGGATGGCTTGGAGCTAGCTCTGGTTCGGGAGGGCCTGCCGATCGTCCGCGTCTCGCCGAACCTCCGGGAGATGCTCTTCCGGTGGTCCGTTTCCAAGCCTAGAATCACCATCCCTAGTGTGGTTCGGGGAAGGTTGAAAACGCCAGGTGTCCACAAGGGATTGGAGAACAGAGAGGACGCGTTACTGCTGTTAGAGTATTGCTTAGGGGATGTGATAGATGACGAAGCTGCAGAGGAGCTGGATGGGCTTTTGCTGGTTCCTCTGGCGAATCAGAGCCTGGGGAGGTTTGAGAGAGTGGGGGCGGTTGGGAGAGAGATTGTTGTTGCTGCGTGGGAGAGAGGAGGGGAGGGGGAGAGAGGAGGAGGAGGAGGAGGAGGTGGAGGAGGAGGAGGAGAGGGAGGGGAGAGGTGGAAGGGGAGGAGGAGTGTGGAGTATGAGTTACTAAAGGACAGGGCGGGAGGGAGAGTAGTGGACCTAATGGGTGTGAGGGAGGATGTGTATGAGCGTCTGAGGAACATCGCACTCTCTCCCTCTGCAGGCAATCTCTCCCCACTCACTCCCTCACTCCTCCTCCGCCTGCTCCAGTCCCTGCTCCCCCCCGACTGGTTCGGACAGGACGAGGTTCCCTGGTTCGGCAGCGTCTCCGAACCTGCTGGTTCGGGGAAGCGTGCGCTTTCAGCGGCTGTGGCGCCGCCGTCTGTCCGGTGGGTCGGGCTTCTTTGGCAGTATCTGGCTGCCAGCTGTAAGGATTTGACGGCGTTTTCCGGTTGGCCGCTGCTGCCGACGAAACAGAAGACACTGTGTGCGCTGGAGAAGGGACGGTCTAGAGTGATTTTGGTTGAGGAGGAGGAGGGGGTGGAGGGGGTGGAGGGGGAGGGGAAGGAGAGAAAGGAAGAGGGCGAGGGGAAGGGACGGATTTTGTCGGCAGGTGGCGGTTTTCATGCAATTTCGGGGTTGCTGGTGAGGCTGGGCTGCCGTATTCTCTGGAGGAAACTCCCCTCTGGTGTGGCGGAGGTGGGGCATGTGGGGGAGGGTGGGGATGTGCAGGGGGAAGCTGTGAATGGGGAGGCTCTGCAGGTGGCACATCCGAATCTGCATGAGTTTGTGCGGGCAGCCACAGGGGCAGGTGTGTTGGACGCACTGCAGTCAGCAGCAGACTGGCATGGTGTGCCCTTTGCTGTGCTCTTCCAGATGGCTGAGACCGCTCTTGATAAAGGTTCCCCCCCTGCTGCTGCTCCTGGTGCTGCTGGTGCCCGTGGTGGTGGTGGTGGTGCTGCTGGTGTGGCTGCCCCAGCTGGTAGGACAGCTTCGGGTGGCTTGCTGTCCGAGGCTGCGGTCGAGGCTCGGCGGCAGCTTCGGGAGTTCCTGTGCTCGCCGCAGTGGTATGCTGGGAATGCAATGACAGAGGCTCGGCGCGTGCGAATCTTCAAGTCTCTGACCATCTTCGAGGTCTACAGCGACCACCCTTCCACCACCAGCACCAGTGGCAGCGCCACCAGTACCACCAGCAGCAGCAGTGGAAGCACCACCGGTAGCACCAATCCGACCGCCATCCATGCCTCCCTGCCTCTCTTTGTCGACCTGTCATCCCCCTCCATTCAACGTTATCTCGCCCCTTCAGGAGTGGAACCAGCGTTGCTAGGCGAGTCTTTCCTCTGCCCCTCAGACGACCGCGAGGCTGCAGTGCTCTCCCGTGCCCTCGCTATTCCCACGCTTCCCCGCCCGGCGTTTTTCAAAATGCAAGTGCTCGCTAGGGTCCAATCGCTGCCGGCCGGGCTCCGAAACAGGACGATGCTTGCCGTGCTGCAGGAGCTGCCGCAGCTGTGCACTGCGGATCCGGGGTTGCGGGATGTGGTGGCGAATCTGGCGTTTGTGCCGGCGTGGGATGGGAAGGGGGATGGGCAGCAGCAGAAATTGCAGCAGCAGGAGGAGGTGGAGGGAGGGGAAGCAGCAGGCGCATCAGCAGCAGGACCAGCAGCAGGAGTGGCAGGAGCAGCAGAGACAGATACTGACATAGGAAATGAGTCCCTTTGCCGCCCAGTGGATCTGTACGATTCTCGCAACCCAGAGCTCTGCCACTTGCTCCAAGGAATGGCTGGCAACTGGTTCCCCGCCGCCCCGTTTTCGTCCTCTTCTGCCCTTGAGATGCTACTCAGCGTGGGGCTCCGCACTGCGGTTACCACCGAAACGATTCTTAGCTGCGCCCGGGCTGTGGAGAGCATTGCCGCTACAGATGCGGCTGTAGCGCGGGAGCGCGGGCGGGTTCTTTTGTCCTATCTGGACGTGAACGCGGCAAGATGGGTGCCTGTGGCGCAGGGGGGAAGCGCAGGGGCAGGAGGAGTAGGGGGGAGAAGGGGCATGGGGGGCGGAGGCGGGGGAGGGGGCGGTGGAGGAGGGGCAGGGGGAGGTATGTTTGCGCGTGTATCGAGTCTGTTTCAGAGCAGTGAAGCAGCAGAGGAGGCTCAGCGCGCAGCAGCTGAAATGGCCTCCTTTTGGAGTGAGCTGACCTCCATCTCCTGGTGCCCTGTGCTTGTCCGCTCCCCTGCCCCACCCTTCCTGCCTTGGCCCGGGGGTGGGGACGCGAACACAAGTAGCGAAGACTCATTAGGCGGAACGGGAGGTAAAGAGAAAGGACAAGAGAGAGCAGATGAGTCTCGTCCTAGTCCCGTCGCTCCTCCTCGCATCGTCCGCCCACAGATCGACACCTGGCTCGCGTCAGCCAGCCTCCGGATCCTGGACGGCGAGTGCCGCTCCACGCTGATGTGGCGCCAGCTAGGATGGGCGCGGCCGCTGACGGGGAGTGTGCTGGCGGCGCAGCTGCTGGAGCTGGGGCGTGTGTGTGGGGCGGAGGTGGCGGATAGGGGCGCGGGGAAGGCCCTGGCAGGGGCAGTGCCGAGGATATACACGATGCTGTCGGACATGCTGGGGCAGGAGGAGATGGAGGTGGTCAAGGCGATTCTTGAGGTGAGTGCTTCGCAGGGTAAGGTTTCCAGGAGGTGGGTGGGTCTGTCAGAGTACGGGCCGATATCCATGGTGCTGTTCATTAGATATGCTGGGGCAGGAGGAGATGGAGGTGGTAAAAGCCGTAAAAGCGGTGATCCTTGAGGTGAGCATTTCTCAAGAAAAAGCCTATAGTTATCTCTTTCTATTCTTGAATGCAAGGAAGACTTCTGCCCGTTCCCTAGCTGCTGCGTGGATATGCTGGGACCTGGGTCAGGGCAGGAGGAGGAGGAGATGAAGGTGGTGAGAGCCATTCTGTAGGTGATCCATTCGGTGGTGTCCATTCTCCAAGCACATCTTAACGAGAAAAGGGTGCACCTGAATTCTCCACCAACTTGCTTCTCTCCCTTTCCCTCTTTTTCCATTGCCTTTGCTCCCACCCCCCTCGTTCCCTGCTTACCTCTCATCATGCGATCCCGACCTTGCTGCCTTCCGAGACCTCCTGCTCGCCTGGGCGTGCACCGCGTAGGGGGGATGACCTGCTCGCCTGGGCGTGCACCGCGTAGGGGGAATGACCTGCTCGCCTGGGCGTGCACCGCGTAGGGGGAATGACCTGCTCGCCTGGGCGTGCACCGCGTAGGGGGAATGACCTGCTCGCCTGGGCGTGCACCGCGTAGGGGGAATGACCTGCTCGCCTGGGCGTGCACCGCGTAGGGGGAATGACCTGCTCGCCTGGGCGTGCACCGCGTAGGGGGAATGACCTGCTCGCCTGGGCGTGCACCGCGTAGGGGGAATGACCTGCTCGCCTGGGCGTGCACCGCGTAGGGGGAATGAGGATCCCTCATAGGCTCTTACAAAACAATCCAACCTGCTTTTTCCCCCATGTTTCTCTTCTTCCCCTGCCAACCCCCCAGGGCTGCAGGTGGGTGTGGGTGGGAGACGGCTTCTGCTCCACCACAGAGTGCGCCTTCTCCGGTCCCATCCACCTCGCGCCCTACCTCCGCATCATCCCGGCCGACCTTGCCGCCTTCCGAGACCTCCTGCTCGCCCTGAGGGTGCACAGCTTTTGGGGGGAATGAGCATCCCTCACAGGCTCAGAGAGAACAATTGAGCCTGATTATTCCTCTGTGTCCCTCTTCTCCCCCTGCCCCCCCAACCCCAGGGCTGCAGGTGGGTGTGGGTGGGAGACGGTTTCTGCTCCACCACAGAGTGCGCTTTCTCCGGTCCCATCCACCTCGCGCCCTACCTCCGCATCATCCCGCCAACCAAGCTGCTTTCCAAGACCTCCTCCTCACCCTCGGCGTGCACGAGTGCCTCTCACATGTCTAACTCCCCACCAACCTTTCCTCTCTCTTTTTCGCTCTTTTGCCCCTTGCTGTTCCCTCCCCTGCCCCAAACCCCCCACACTCCCCCTCCCTCAGGGCTGCAGGTGGGTGTGGGTGGGAGACGGTTTCTGCTCCACCACAGAGTGCGCCTTCTCCGGTCCCATCCACCTCGCGCCCTACCTGCGCATCATCCCCGCCGACCTCGCTGCCTTCCGAGACCTCCTGCTCGCCCTGGGGGTCCGCGAGTGCCTCTCGGGGAATGAGTACGCCTCTGTGCTTGCGAGCATCGCTAAAGACGCGCAAGGCCGCCCGCTCGCGCCGCGCCAGCTGGCGGCTGCTGTCTGGCTGGTGCAGCATCTGGCGGATCTGCAGTTTGATTCCGGGGCGGCGGGCGGGGGAGGCGGGGGAGGAGCGGGCGGAGTGGGGGGTGGGGGAGGGGGAGGAGAAGGAGTGGGGGTTGTTGCGAGGGGAGGAGGGGGAGGGAGAGGAGGAGGCATGGTGTATGTGCCAGACGCACAGGGAATTCTAGTGCATGCCTGTGAGCTTGTGTATAACGATGCTCCCTGGTTACCCCAGTTCATGCGCTCGACTCCCCACTCTCCTCCCTCCTCTCCTTCCGCCGCTCCTTCCGACGCTCCCTCCCCTCCCACTTCCACTCCCTCCTCTCACCATGCCTCTGCGGCAAACCCAGGCTTCCCAAGCAGCCACGCAGGCTCGGCGGCACCGCCCGAGCCTACCCTCCAGGTTCGGTTCGTCCACGCCAAGATCTCCAACGACGTGGCAGACAGGCTCGGCGTCCGATCCTTGCGTCGCCAGCTCCTATTGGACAGCGGAGCAGCATCCATGGCTCTCTCCCTCCACGCCTCTGCCTCCTCCCTCTTCTCCCCCACATCCCTAGCTGCTTCTACCGGGGCTGCTTCTAACGGGGATGGGGTGGAGGCGTTCGGGCAGCACGAGGCTTTAACCACTCGTTTAAAGCACATTGTGGAGATGTATCCAGAGGGGCCGGGGGTGCTCTGCGAGTTGGTGCAAAATGCGGATGATGCTGGGGCGAGGGAAGCGGCGTTTCTTCTGGATCACTCCCGGTTCGGCGCTTCTTCGGTGCTCAGCCCGCGAATGGCTGACTGGCAGGGGCCGTCTCTGTATGCATACAACGATGCTGTGTTCTCGGATCGCGATTTGATTTCGATTTCGCGCATCGGGCAGGATAGCAAGCTGGAGAAGCCTAGTGCTATTGGTCGGTTCGGGCTCGGTTTCAACTCAGTCTACCATTTCACCGACGTCCCGGGGTTTGTTTCCGGGCAGAATCTGGTGATTTTCGACCCTCACGCGTCGAACCTGCCCGGAATCACGCCCTCCCACCCGGGCCTGAAGATCAGCTTCGTCGGCCGCGGCCTCCCGGACCAGTTCCCGGACCAGTTCCGCCCGTTCCTCCTCTTCGGGTGCGACCTGCAATCCCCGTACCATGGCACTCTGTTCCGGTTTCCACTTCGGTCCGAAGCTGCGGCGGGTCGGAGCGAGATCAAGCACGAGCCGTGCAGCCCAGAGGATATCCGGCAGCTGTTCAAATCCTTTCAGCGCTCGGCCACAGAAGCGCTGCTGTTTCTGAGAAACGTGGGGCGGATTTCGGTTTTCGAGAGGATAGATGCCGGGAGTGAGCCGAAGCTGCTGTTTTGTGCACAGAGAGTAGTTGCTGGTGAGGGGGGGGCGTCAGGAATGCCTTTTGTTTCAGCACTTCCGTCGCCAGGAATGGGTCTGAGGGCCCTGGGGGATTCGGCTGATGGGGGCAGTTTGCAGCGAGCTATTTTCGATTTTGTTCGGGGCAGCCCGCAAAATCCTCTGAATAAGGACCAGTTTTACCACAAGCTGCAGCGGGCAGCTGAAGGGCAGCTGCCGAGGCAATGCGGGCGGATCTCGATTTTAGTGACTGATGGGGCGGGACACGTGGCGGCTTCTGATTGGCTCGTGTCGAACGCGCTGGGCGGGGGGCAGGCAAGGGAGTGGGCTGTTGCAGTGGAGAACAGGCCGAGAGGGTTCCTGCCGTGGGCCGGCGTCGCTTGTCTTATTCAGTGGGAAGAGGAGGGGAATACCGGGCTGGTGAATCTGATGGGAGTGGGGGAGGAATCGGAGGAAAGCAAAGAAGGGAAAGAGGAGGGTGGTAACCCACAAGAGGAGAAGCACCAAGTAGGTGGAGGAGTAGGAGGCAGGGCCGATGATACAGGTAAGGAAAGAACGAGGCTGCAAGGAAGGGCCTTTTGCTTTCTGCCTCTGCCCGTGAAAACAAACCTCCCAGTGCACGTCAACGGGTACTTTGAGCTCTCCTCCAACCGCCGAGACATCTGGTTCGGCGACGACCTGGCAGGTGCGGGCAAGGTTCGGTCCGAGTGGAACCGGCGGCTCCTGGAGGACGTGGCAGCTCCGGCGTACGCTCGGATGCTTGCCGAAGCTACCAAGCAGCTTGGGCACGGGCCTGCGTACCATGCTCTCTGGCCCGGGGCAGGGGCAGGCTCGGGGTTGCGTTTGGGTGAGGATTCTGGCTCGGGTGCGGTTCGGAGGCAGGTTCGGGGAGAGCTGGTGGAGCCTTGGGAATCGCTGGCCAATCGGGTTTATGTGTGTGTGACTGAGCTCGATCTGGGTGTTATCTGGACAGGGGCAGCTGGGGGGAGGTGGATTTCTCCAAAACGGGCAGTTTTTGCAGACACAAGCTACCCAAAAATGGAAGATCTTACAAATATTCTGGTCCGGGCAGGTCTCCCCTTGGCAGATGCTCCGTACCCAGTGGTGGAAAGATTTCGCTCGGCCTGCCCGCAGCTCAGGTTCCTGACTCCAGCGCTCCTCAGAAAGACTCTGATTGGCTCGGGCAGGCAGATTCTTTCGAGCTGCCCGGACGTGGGCCTGGCACTGAACTACTGCCTGAGTGACGTGGACGTGGAAGAAGCTGCTGAGAAGCTTCCAGGCCTCCCACTCATTCCTCTGGCCAATGGTACTGTAGGCGCGTTTTCCAAGATTGACAGTGGCAGCAGCAGCGGCGGCGGCAGCAGGAGGGGTGGGTTGATGAGTGGAGGTGTGATGGGTGGGCATTGGAGCGCTGGGATGATGAAACAGTGGGACCCTCGAGCCAGGGCCACCAGCAGCAGCAGCAGGGGGGCCTTTGGAACAGCAGGCAGTGGCACCAGTGGCGGCGCCGGCAGCTTTGGGGGAGGAGGGGCGGTGAGGCTGATAGTGACTCGGAATGAGGCGGAGTTTTCGCTGCTGCTCCCCAGTGCCGCCCACCTGCTGGTGCACCGACAGCTGGCAGCAGAGCAGGGCGAGGCGTGGGGGAAGCTGCAGGCCATGGCCGGGTGGTGGGAGGAGGGGGAGGGGGACAGGGAGGGGGGTGGGGACGGGATGGGTGCGGCGGGGAATGCGAGTGGTGCTGGTGCTGGAGGGGGGATGGACGTGGGAGAGGTTTTAGGGTTTTTGAACGAGACTCAGCAGCTGCAAACGCAGCAGAAGCAACAGGAGCAGCAGAGGCGTAGAGAAAGGGCGGGTGCAGGGGTGAATCTGGCGGTGGTGTCGGTGCCAGTGCTGGCTGAGCTCATGCCTCTGCTGCTGCCAGAGTCCTGGCGCGGGCAGGCGTTTGTTGCATGGGGTGGTGGTGCGGGCGAGGGGGAGAGAGGGAGAGGGTCAAGGGGAGAGGGAGAAGGAGAGGGGGAGGGGGAGGGGGAGGGGGAGGGAGAGGGAGCAGGTGGGTTGCTGATTCAGGCAGACATGAGCGCTGCAGCAGCAGCAGGGGGAGCAGCAGGAGGAGGAGGAGGAGCAGCAGCAGCAGGAGGAGGAGCACGAGGATTCGGTCCTGAAGCGGAAGGGATTGAGTTCTTGGAGTCTGAGGGACCGTCCCTGGAGTGGATTCAGCAGTTCTGGAGCTACCTCTCTTCCTCCGCCTCCGCCTCTCCCACTACCACCGATTCTCACATCCCCACCACCACCATCACCACCTCCTTCTCGTCCTCCTCTCCCTCTCTTCCCTCTCCACCTCATGCCAGCCTGTCGCTCATCGCTGATTGGCCGCTCGTCCCAACCACCAATGGGCAGCTGCGGCAGCTGCAGGCAGGGGGCCCGCTGCTGCGACCGGGGGGAGGGGACGGGTGGAGTGAGAGCATGCTGTCTCTCTTTGCACGCCTGGGCGTGTATGTGGTGCGCAGCGATGTGAATCTGGACCACCCGGGCTTGAGGGAGTATCTTCACGACGCCTCGGCTGCTGGGATTCTCGATGCCATTGCTGCTGCCGCCGCGAACCATGCTGCTGCTGCTGCGGCTTCTGCCGCCGCCTCTTCTGCTGCTGCAGCGAATAGACGAGCAGTGGGAGTAGGCCTGGCATCGTCAGATGTTAGAAGAGGAGCAGCAGGAGGAGGAGCAAGAGTAGGGGCGAGAGCAGGAGCAGGTTCATATGGGGTAGGTCTAGCTGCGTCATTTGACCTTGTTGAGTCAGCAGCAGCCAACCAGTCAGCAACCTCTGTTGCTGCTGCTGCAGCTCAGGTGCCGCATCTGGATGCGCTCCTCTCGCTCTTCCAGGGAGCAACGGACGGGGAGAGGAGAGAGCTGCGCAGCATCTTGTGCCAGTCCAAGTGGTTCCCCCCAACAGATGGCCCTTCCGACTCATCTGCTGCTGCTGCTGGTACGGTTGTTGCACATGCCTTTGGCCTGTCCAGAGGTCTCAAGCATGTTTCAGAACCTGCCCCGTCGCATCCAGGTGGCGTTCTCTCAGAGCGCCACATCAGCATGCTGCGAGCGCTGCCGATCTTCGAGTCTTACGGCACCTGGTCGGCCCCTGAAACCCGGTCAGATGCAGATAAAAAACAGCAAGGGGGTGGTGCTGGCCTCTCCGCTGGTCTCTCTGCTGGCCTCTCCGCTGGCCTCTCCGCTGGGCGTGTGTTTGTGGATCTGCTCACAGCTCCCCGCTTCTTTGCCCCGCCATCCATCGACGAGTCGCTTCTCGACGCCTCATTCGTCCGCATCGACTCCGACAAGGACCACCGAATCCTGCGCTGCCACCTGGCGGTCTCCCCGATCTCCCGCACTGCGTTCTACCTCAACCACCTCCTTCCTCGCATCCGTGCCGCTGCTGCCGTCGCGGCCACCACCGCTACTGCTGCTGCTGCTGCCAATGCCACTCCTGCTGCTGGTAGTGGTGGCGCCGCTGAAGCAGCAGCAAAAGCAACAGCAGCTGCAGCGGCAGCAAGGGGAGGGGTGAAGGGATCGGCGGTGGTGCCGTTGAGTGGAGAGGCGGGGGTGGCAGCGATGGTGGCAGTGGTGAGGGACCTGCCGCGGCTGGCAGAGGAGGACGAGCGGATAGTGAAGGAGCTCAGCAGGCTGCCTTTCCTGCCCACCCCCTCCGGCCTGCTCAAGGCGCCCTGCAGGTATGTTTGGTTCGAGTAGAGTAGACAGAGTGAGTCAAAGAGGGATGCTGGAGAGGGGGTAAGATCACGTCCCCGGTCGGGGGAGAGGTGGGCAGGGATCAGCAGGGACCTGCCGCGGGATCAGAGGAGGATGAGCGGGTGGTGAAGGAATTCAGCAGGCTGCCGTTCCTGCCCACCCCCTCCAGCCTGCTCAAGGCGCCCTGCAGGTATGTTTGGTACGGGTGGAGACACCGGGGGGTGAGTCAGACAGGAATGCTGGAAGGATAAGTTCACGCCCCAGTGGGGCTGGGGAAGGAGATCAGCAGGCTGAGCCCTTTTGAGGCGCCTCAAAACTCGCCCCAGTGGGGCTGGGGAAGGAGCTCAGCAGGCTGGGCCCTTCTTGCCGCCACTGGGGCAACCCAAGAGGCTTGCCACCGTGCGGGTGAGCACAGGGTCATGGTTGAGCCAAACCTTTCTCTCCGCTCCTTTCTTTCCTCTCCTTCTTTTCCTCCTCCCCCCCACCCACTCGTCCCCGCCCTCCCCTCTTTTTCCCCCTTCTCTTCTCCCCCTCTGCAGTCTCTACGACCCACGGGTGTCTGATCTCACATCTCTCCTCGACGCTTCTCTCTTCTTCCCAGCACCGCCCTTCTCCTCCCCCGCCCTCCTCCCAACGCTCCTCTCCCTCGGCCTCCGCACCACCATCGACCGCCGGGCCTTGCTCGCCTCTGCCCGGTCTATCCAAGAGGCTTGCGGAGTAGTGGGCGAGGGACAGGGTGCAGCAGCAAGGCAGGGTGCGGCAGTAGGAAGGGGTGGTTCTGATTTTGATCGGTCGGGTGGTCTTCGTGGTGAGATCTTGGCTCGAGCCCGTGCCTTGCTGGCGCATCTGGATGCGCGCCAGGTGGCGGAAGATCAGTGGAGGAGCCTTGGCGGAGGGAGGGCAGGGGGCGAGGAGGAGGAGGAGGGTCAGGGTGGGGTTGGGAGTAGGGGCGGTAGTGGTGGTGGTGGTGGGTTTGATGATGGCTTTTTGGAAGGTGGTGGTGATTGGTCAAGATTGGGTGCACTGGGCGGCTTTGCCGCCCGGGGATTCAGTGGAGAGGATGGCGATGCGGCTGTGGTGGGGAGGAAGAAGGGGAACAAGGGAGAGAGGAGTGCGGGTGCTGGTGGTGGCACTGCTACTAGTACCACTGGCAGCAGCAGCACCAGCAGCAGTGGCGGCGGTGGCAGCAGCAGTAGCAGCAGTGGCGGCCGCATTGGTGAAGTTGTGGAGGAGGATATTCCTGAGGATGCCTTTTGGGAGGAGCTGAAGGGGATCTCGTGGTGCCCTGTGCTGCAGAGACCACCGGATTCCGCCCTTGCTACTCCCGGCAGTGGCGGCGGTGGTATTGTGGTCACTGGGTCTACCTCCAATGACCACAGCAGCACCACTGCCACTCGTGGTACCACTGGCAGCACCAGCAACAGCAGAAGTACCGACAACAGGAACAGCAGCAGCAGCAGCGGTGCCATCCAGCCGCCCTGGAAGGGAAGTCCGTCCGGGTTCATGCCGCCCTGCGCCGTCCGGCTGCAGGACGACGTGTGGGTGGTGGGCGGCAGCATGTGCATTCTGGGCGGCGAGGTGCGGTCGGACAGCCTGGCGCGCAAGCTAGGGTGGCGAGACCCCCCGCCTGTGGAGGCTCTGGTGTCTCAGTTGCTTGCTCTGGCCGCTCTGCATGGTTGTGCTGCGGCTGAGAGGAGGGGGCGGGAGGAGAGAGGGGATAGGAGCGGGGAGAGGAGGGAGAAGCGAGGGGTGAGGAGAGGGGAGAGGAGGGGCGGGAGGAGTGAGGGTGAGGTTGATGGAGAGAGGAGGGACGAGCATGGAGAGGAAATGGAAGGAAAAGGAGAGGAGAGAGAGGAGGGAGAGGAGGGTGAGGAGGAGAAGGAGGAGGAGAATGAGGAGGAAGAGGAGGATGAAGTGACAGTGCTGGAACGGATCTTATCAAAAGAAGTTCCGAGAATCTATGCGTATCTGGAACAGCACATGGGCTCTCCGTCCTTTTCTGCCGCTCGGACGTCCTTCCAATCAGTGGCCTGCATTTGGGTCGGCGACACCTTCATCGCACCTTCCTCCCTCGCCTTTGACTCGCCCGCCCACTTCCACCCCTACCTCCATGTCGTGCCGACAGAAGCCGCCCGCTTCCGCACCCTGCTGACGTCACTAGGCGTTAGGGAGACATTCCAGGTGGGGGATTACGCACAGGCGCTAGCCCACCTGAAAAGAGACCTGGAGTGGCAGGACCGGAGGCTCGGCGGAGGTTCAGGGGAGGTTCGGGGAGCTGGTGGAGCAAGAGGAGGTTCGGGGAGAGGAGCAGCAGGAGTAGTGGAAGGAGGAGGAGGCAGAGCCGCGGTTTTATCTCCAGACCAGTTTTCGTTTGTGTTGAGGGTTTTGGAGGCTATAGTGGATGCTCTGCCGCCAAGTGGCGAGCCGCCATTGGCCGGCACGGTCCTGGTGCCCGAGGCTTCAGGGGGGCTGGTGGCGGCTCGGGAGCTGATTTTCAACGATGCTGCGTGGCTCGGTAAAGGTAGGCATGGGCGGTTACACGAGGGTGGCACTTAAAAGTGAAGTTGGGTGGCACTTAGTTGAAGTATTGTGGCACTTAGTTGAGGTATTGTGGCACTTAGTTGAGAGTTTTGTGGCACCTAGCTGAAAGTGGGGTGTCACTCTTCTGGCAGTGAATGGCACATTCAGCAAAAGATAGGTGGTTTTCCGCATTGTGTAAATGTCTGCTTTCCGCCCATTGTGTGTTTGGCCCAAGCAAACAGAAGGCGAGGCCGAACACTTTCCCCACACGTGTTTTGCTTTTTCTGTTCTAACAAACGCTCCCTCCTTGCAGCAACGGTGGACGGGCGGAGTCGCTTTGTGCATCCCGACGTGCCCCACGCCATAGCAGAGCGGCTCGGCTCGCGCTCCCTGCGAGGGCTGTCGCTGGACGGCCCCTCTGCTGCCACCTCGCTGCCTTGCCTCCCAGGTGAGTCTCGTGCTCCAACTCCTGCACAGCTGACGAATCGAGGTGCACAACATGTGCCCCACGCCATAGCGGGGTGCCTTGACTCGCCCTCCCTCCGAGGGTTGTTGCTGGACAGCCCCTGTGCCGCCACATATCGCTTCCGTGCCTGCCAGGTGGGTCTTGTGCCCCAGCGCCCATGCACCTAATATTGCAATCATGTCAAGTCATTGCGCCTCCTCCTTCTCTCGAACGATCCTTGTCGTTAAATGGAGTGAACGGTACAGCAGTGAACCGCTCTTGTCCTCTTTCTCTCCGTCCTTCTCTTCGCTTCTCTTCTTTACCTGCCTAACTTTCTCTCCACCCAACCCACCCCTCCAGCGGTGGTAATATCGGAGCTCCTAGAAGGCTGGGCAGCGGACGCGCACCTTCTCCTCTTTGATCTGCTGGAGGTGGCGGACGCATGTGGTGCCTGCGGGGTGGAGCGGAGTGGTCGGGCCTAAATCAAGCCTTGCATTTACTCCTCCTTTCCACCCCATCCGACTCCATCCATCCAGCGGTGGTAATATCGGAGCTCCTAGAAGGCTGGGCAGCGGACGCGCACCTCCTCCTCTTCGATCTGCTGGAGGTGGCGGATGCATGTGGTGCCCGCGGGGTGGAATTCGTGTGGGACCAGCGGCACCACCCTGAGATCTCCCTGTTGCAGCCCAACCTGGGTACGTGCTGATCCAGCAGGGAGTGTTTAGAAACGTGTCCAACCTAGGTCCGTGCCGGTTTTAGCAAGGGTGCCTTGTGTTTATGAAATCAGCTGCCTTGTATTTATGAGATCAGCTGCCTTATATTTATGAGATCAGCTGCGTTGTAGTTATGAGATCACCAGCACCACCCGGAGATCTTCCTGTTGTGTTGCAGCCCAACCAACCTGGGTGGGTGAGGATTGCGTGCGTCAGACAATATTTTGAGTCGACTCAAAAGCAACCTGGGTGGGTGAGGATTGCATGCGTCAGACAATCTTTTGAGTCGACTCAAAAGCAACCTGGGTGGGTGAGGATTGCGTGTGTCAGACAATCTTTTGAGTCGACTCAAAAGCAACCTGGGTGGGTGAGGATTGCGTGCGTCAGACAATCTTTTGACTCGACTCAAAAGCAACCTTGGTGGGTGAGGATTGCGTGCGTCAGACAATCTCTCCGTGCTCTTTCAGGGATCTCATTGCTGCTGCCCATTCTGGGTACTTGGGGATTCGGAATTCACGAGTTGAGGGAAGGCCTGCCCTGCCATTGGATGCGTGTGGTGCCCACAGGGTGGTGCAGGTCAATTCTAGGGCCCCTCACTCACCATTCTCTTCCACGGAGCTCAGCTCACATCGCAAGACATCTGCCACCCGCACATGCACGCCTCTCCTCATGGACTTTTCACAGGACATCACTTTTAGAGTCACCTCATCACAGGACATCTGCCACCCGCACATGCACTTTGTTTGAGGTTGATTTAGAGAATTCTCAAAATCAACCTCTCCTCATGGACTTTTCTGTCCCCTGCTTTCCCTCCCCCGTCCCACCCACCCACCCCTTCTCTCACCCATCCTTACAGGTCAATTTCAAGGCCCCTCCCTCACCATTCTCTTCCACGGGGCCCAGCTCACGTCAAATCAGGGGACGTATACCACCTGCACACGCCGCTGCTCACCCACGCGTTCGTCCGGTGCTCTGGTCTCCTTGCCCTGTCACAACCCCTCTCTCCCTGACCCCTGCAGGTCAATTCCAGGGCCCCTCCCTCACCATCCTTTTCCACGGGGCCCAGCTCACATCAAATCACATCAGGGGACATATACCACATGCACACGCCTCTCCTCAACCACTCTTCCATTCCCTGCTCTCTTGCTCCGCCCCCTTCTCTTCCCCCTCACACACATCTGCAGGTCAATTCCAAGGTCCATCTCTCACAATCCTGTTCCACGGGGCCCAGCTCACTTCAGAAGACATTTGCCACCTGCACACGCCCCCCCCCATCCGCCTCCGCGACGCCACGTGTCGCTACGGCACTGGTCTGCTCGGCGCATACCACCTCTCCGACCTCCCCCTCATAGTCTCAGGAAGCTTCCTCTACGCCTTCGACCCCTCGGGCCATCATCTTTTCTCTGGTTCGGCCGGTGGTGCTGCTGCTGGTGGTGGCAGTGGTGGCTTGTCTGCTGCTCGCGGCTCATCAGGGTCACCTGGTGGATCGAGGAGGAGAGGAGGAGGGGACGACATGGCTGCTCCTGTTGCTCGAGCCTTTTCCCTCAAAGGTACCGCCACTTCTGATCAAGGTTCATCCCTCTCGGTTTCTGTCTGGTTCATTATCCTTTCTGTATGCATCCCAGGTGGTCAGTGTTGGCCAGTTCCTATCGAATCAACATTTCTTCCGTTACCCACTTCTGTTGCCCCCCTCGCTCATCCAGGCTCAGGCTCCTCAAGCTTCATCAATCGCTTCCCAGACCAGTTCCGGCCCCTCACCTTCGCCCCTTCCTCCTCCTCCTCCTCCTCCTCTCACTCTTCTCACTCCTCTCACTCCTCTCACTCTTCCCACTCCTCTCACACCTCCACCACCGCCACCTCTTTCTGGTACGAAAACACGGTACTGCGCTTGCCCCTTCGCACGCAGCAGCAGGCAGACTCTAGTCCAATCAGGAGAGGCCACGTGGCAGGGCCGTGGGATATTGTTCTGATGGCGCAGCTGCTGCAGCAGCACGGGGCGGCGTCGCTCGTCTTTTTGAACTCCGTGGAGACGGTGAGTGTGCTGTCATGCCATGTAGGCTTCAGAAAAAAATCGAACACCTGTTCGGTTCGACCCAAACATGTGTTACCACACCTCGTGACTCACACCTTCTTTTTGAAAGTTACCCCTGTCTTGAAGTCTGTTTCTTTCTCCCAGCTTCCTCTTACTACAACTTCTCCTCTCCCCCTTCCAAATCCGCTCACCCTATCCCCTGCACGCCAGGTGTCGTTCTCTGTGTGGCCAGCCGATGCTGTCCAACCGGAAGAGTTTTTCCATGCCCAGGTCAGTCTCTCCCACCCACCCGAACCCGTGAATCATATTTGAGAATTCTTAAAAGTTGTTGTGTTTTCTCGTGTTTTGATTTGCGGGGACTAGTGCTGCTTGCACACACAGACACATCGTCCCGAGGCTAGTGCTGCTTGCACACACAGACACATCGTCCCGAGGCTAGTGCTGCTTGCACACACAGACACATCGTCCCGAGGCTTTTTGTTCCTTTGCCCTCCTCCCAAGCGGTCCTTGTATTAATTCCGAACTAGTACAGACATGCACATGAGTAAATAGCTTGCATTTCAGCCCCTAACCCCCCCCCCCCCCCTATATCAATTTTTGAGGCGCCTCAAAAATCGCCTAGTACAGACATGCACATGAGTAAATAGCTTGCATTTCAGCCCCTAACCCCCCCCCCCCCTATATCCTATACCCCCCCTTTCAGAACCGCAAGGCGTGCAAGCAAGGCTTCCTCTCCAGCCTCTTCGCCCCTGGTGGGGGCAGCAGTATTAGTAGCAGCAGCAGCAGCAGCAAAACATTCACTCTATTCCGTCTCCCTCCCCTCCCCACAGGTCCGAGCAGGCATGGGGTCTCTCAGAGCGCCCTTTCAGGATCGCAAGGTGCGCAAGCAAGGCTTCCTCTCCAGCCTCTTCGCCCCTGGTGGTGGCAGTAGCAGCAGCAGCGGTAGCAGCAATAGCAGTCTTAAAGCGTTCACTCTTGACGTTCTCACCAAGTCTCAGTCCCTTGCCCCGCTGCTGGGGAGTATTGGTGGAGGGGAGGAAGAGGGGAGTGGGGAAGGAGATGAGAGGGTGGGACATGGGGAGGGTGAAAGGGAAGGAGAAGGGGAGCAGAGGTTGGAAAAGGGGAAGGGGGGAGAGGAGGTGGGAGGGGAGAGTGCGAAGCTGCAGGAGCAGCAGCAGCAGCAAAAGCAGGAGGAGGAGGAGGAAAGGAGGAGTGGAGGGAGGATGCGGGTGGTGGGGCAGGGGAGTGGTGCCGGGAAGAAGGCTGCTGGGGTGTCTGACGTGGCGATTGATCGTTGGCTTGTGGTGCAGACGTTTGGTGCCGGGAGCTCTCTGGATATGGCCCGAAGCAAGTGAGTGTGACGGTGTCATGGTGCCATGGTGGCTGTCCAGGTGCATTGAATGTAGACGTTTGGGGCCGGAAGCTCCCTCCCGGGATATGGCACGAAGCTATTGAGTGTGATGATCTGCTAGTGAAAGAGCATTGAATATAGTTGGGTCCCTTCCCTTGTATGTGGACGTTTTGGGCTGAGAGGGTGGCTAGTGGAGGTGCAGTGAATCTAGAGCTTCTGGATTTCCTCGAGTCTTATGTAGGCATTTGGGGACTAGGAGAGCCCCCTGGATTGGGCCAGAAGAAAGAGAGTGTGGCGGTGTCATGCTGCTGCCTGTCTGAGTGCGTGGAGTCTAGAGCTTTAGATTCAAGGCACCCAAAAGCACTAGACTCAAGGCGGGATTCGTATACTCACTTGCACGAAGCAGGTGAGTGGATTGGTACACTGCAGACGGTTCGGTGCATTGAATCTTGTTGGGTGCCTTGAATTTGGACGTTTTGGGCTGAGAGGTTGGCTAGTCATTAGGCATTTAAGAATGTTGCCTCCTTGTCTCCCGTACTCTCATCACAAAGCTCTGGTATTTCTACTTCAATTTCTCACCACCGGCCACTGCCACCACCCAAATCCTCCAAAACAGTTTTCAAATCTCTGCCTCCCCTTCCCCGGGCCCATCCCACAGGAGGTATCTCTCCTTCAACCTCTCACCAGTGGCCGGCGCCGCCACCCGAATCCTCCGGAGCACAGGTCTGAGTTCAGCGGCTCAAATATCTGCTGCCTTCCCCTCCTCCTGCCCGCATCCCATCCCACAGGAGGTACCTCTCGTTCAACCTCTCACCAGTGGCCGGTGCCGCCACCCGAATCCTCCGCAACGGCGAAATCATCCCCTTCGCCACCACCCACCCCTTTGCCCCACAACAAGAAGCATTACCACCCCTCTCAACCGTCTCCTCTTCCTCCTCCAACCTCTCCGCCCTCCGCCCGCTCCTCCCGCCCTCCGTTGTTCTCGCGCCGCTGCCCGTGCCTCTCAACCTGCCCTTCCCTGTGGCAATTTTCGGCCACTTCCTCCTCCTCCGCAACCCCGGATCCCCTCGCTCCCTCTTCCTCCCTTCCCCCTCTTCCTCTCCCGCGTCCTCCTCCCTCTCCTCCACTCCTTTGCTGCTGTCTGCTGACGTGGCACCGGGCGCCACGTCAGCAGCTGCCACGTCACCGATGGACGCGCTGATGCAGGCGTGGAACGAGGAGCTGCTGACAGGTGTCCGCGAGGCGTACATCGGCCTCCTGCTGGAGATGCAGAGGATCAGAATCGGCGAATCACGGCTCGTATCGGGCATATCTGGAGTTTCAGGAGTGTCCGCAGCAATGTCCAGTAGTATGTCCCAGCAGTCTCAGGGGTTCAGAGGTAGCAACCGGCAGCATCAGCAGTATCACCATCAGCAGCAGCAGCAGTTGAGGGGGGCGTTGTTTCCAGCAGACCAGTTCTACTCCCTCTTCCCACGCTCCTCCGGTCCTGCTCGTACTGCTCTTCCCGCTATCCCCACTGCTTCCTCTTCCCTGCATCCCACCTCTTCTCAGCCTGCTTTCCCTGAGAATGAGCCGGAAAGACAGCCAATAGGAGCAGCAGGCGCTGCTACAACAAGCGATGAGGTGGCGCTGCGTGATTGGATGGTGCGGCCGATGTACGTCCGGCTGGCAGAGCTGCCCGTGTGGCAGCTCCACAGTGGAGCAGCCGTGCAAGTCAGCCAAGGAATGTTCCTCGTCCCGCCCCCGGGCTCTACAACCACCCTCTCTATAAGCACAGCTTCGACCAGCACTCCTGCCAGCAGCAGCTCCGTTATAAGCACATCAATCACATCTGCTAATAGTGGAGCGCCGCCAGAAGCGGTGTGTGAGTTTCTGCGGGCGCACTACCGCGTGTTCAGCGTGCCGTGGGACCTGCTGGGTGAGCTGCATGCGGCCGGCGTGGCCACTCAGGCACTGACACCTGGCATGCTGCGGTCGCTGCTGCGCGGACCCAATGCCACCACGAGCTCTGTTCCTGTGACCACACAGGTACGGGTTTTAGATTTGTGAAAAGATTTCTAAGTATAAGGTATCTTTCTCAAGAACACCCCACACGGGGCCCAACTTTGCAACGCGCTCTGTTTCCCGTCACGCACGTGAGTGCTCTTTTTGTCGGTTCCTTACATGTAGGTGAGTGCTTTCTGCGAGAAAAATGAATGGGTTTATAGTTCTCAGAGCGCGTTCACTGAAATGGAAGTGGATGATAGTGGCTGGCAGTGAAGGAGACACTTTTCAGTCTCGTTGCTTTTGCTCTTTAAGCGTTCTCTTCAGGCTTGCTGCTACTCCACTATGAACTTTCAGTTATACGAAGTGGATAATGGTGGCAGTGAAGGGGACATGGACGTGTAAAATTAGTATGTTTGAGGCGTCTCAAAAAGGCTTGCTGCTACTCCACTATGGACTTTCAGTTATACGAAGTGGATGATAGTGGCAGTGAAGGAGACAAGGAGAGTGTCTGTTCTCCATTCCACTTCCCAGTCTTCAGTTCACCACTCGCCCTTGTTTCAAGCCCTCCACTCCCTCCCACCCACCCTCTCCGCCCCCTGCCTGCCACCTTTCGCCCGCTGTCTTCCGTCCCTCTCGCTCTTCCTTCCCGCCCCCTCTCCGCCCTCCCTATTCCCCGTCATTCTCCCCCCCCAGGTCGACCTGCTAGAGTACTGCTGTGCCGACATCCAACTGCCCGATCCGGCCTCCTATCCTGCTCCGCCACCTGGCAGCTCATCATCTGCCAGCCAGACTGGCAGCGCTGCCACGTCAGCAGCGTCACGTGGCGCTGCGGGAGCATTCAGCATGATTCCACTGCCCAGAGAGGTGCGGGCTCTCCTGAGGGGCGGAGGAGGGGAAGGGGGAAACAGAGGGGGAGGGGGAGGGGGGGCGGGGGAAAGCAGAGGGTTAGGGGTGGGAGCAGCAGAAGCATTGCTGCGGAGGCTGGAAGGGGCGAGGATGGGGGGACTGGGCGGCGCAGCAGCAGCAAGGGGAGGGGGAGGGGGAGCAGGGGGCGGTGGCGGCGGTGGTGGAAGCAGTGGGTTTGGCTCGTGGGGTGGGTATGCTGGGTACGGTGGCGCTGCTGCTGGTGCTGCTGGTGGTGCTGGTAGTGGTACTAGCACAGCAGGGCATGGGCATGGGCATGGGCAGGGCTATGGGCATGGTGGGCAAGGGCAAGGGGATGGCATGCGCAGTGATGCTGATGCGTTGGCGGATCTCATGGCTCAGTTCGGCCGGTCGGTTTTCGATTTCGGGCAGAATGTTCTCGACGAGCTTGATGCTGCCCGCGCAGGTGCGACGGGCAGCGAACAAATAAACTCGGGAGAAGGAAGGGGAAGAGGGGGAGGAGGGAGAGGAGGAGGTGGGGGAGGAGGGGAGGGAGAGGAGAGGCATGCACTGACAGAGGAGGAAAGGGAGAGACTTGCAGCAGAGGAAGCTTTCAGGAAGGCAGCAGAAACCAAGGTTGCAGAAATGAAGGGCGTTCCCATACCTACTGGTACGGTGTCCGACCCTGCGTTCCGAGCCTTCCAATCCGAGCCTCAGAGGCACGGTGGGGCCGGCGGGGGTCTGGCTAGGCTCGGGAAAGACCTCCTCATAGTCGCCACATGGGACCAGCAGCGGCTGTTGCCGAACCTAGCGCACAGGTTCGTTCACGGAACCTGCCTGGCTCGGCAGCTTCTGAAAGCCCTCTTCCTGCACCCGAGGTTCTGCGAGCTGCTGACGATGCAGCCATTCACGTTGCGCCACCTGGCAGACGGGCTGGCTACAGTGTTTTCTCGGCAGCAGAGGGCGGAGGCGGAAGGAGAGATGCTGATTGTGTGGGGCGAGGGAGAGGGGGCGGATGTGTGTGGGGAGGAGGGAGAGCAGGGAGAGAACCAACAGCAGCAGCAGCCACAGCAGCAGCAGCAGCAGCAGGAAACAAATCGTCCAGTCACTGCCACCACAGCCATTGCAAGCAGCAGCAGTCTGCAGCAGAGCACCGCTAGGGACTCGCCCTTGGACCCTCTCTCTCCTGCCTGGCTCAGGGCCTTCTGGGCTCTGCTGAAACGCTCCTCCCTTTCTACGGCAACCGCTACCCAGGCACTTGGCAGCAGCATAGGGCAGCAGGAGTGGGTGGAGATCTTTGAATCATGGCCGTTGATTCCCGCCGTGACACGTGGCGGCAGTGTACTAGTCAAGGTTGCTTTCCGGGCAGCTGTTTTCGTCCCTCCAGATGCAGGTGCGGCTCCTGCCGAGCCTCCTGCTGAGCCTCCTGCCGTGCCACCTGCCGAGCCTGTAGTGCCTGTGTCAGAATTAGGAACTAGTGGGGAAGGTAGTTCAGGGGGAGGTGGCATTCAGGGCTGGGAATCTGCTGCAGTGGCAGCTGTAGGGTGGGCTGATTTTGGAGATTCAGCTGCTGCTGGTACCTCTGCTGCCTCTGATGTCTCTTCTCCTGTGGAGGGTTCTGAAGCTGGAGCAGCCAATGACAGGCTGCCACGTGGCACCACAGCAGAGTCTGAAACCAGAGGGACCACTACTCAGTACCCGCCGAAGCACCTGAGCTCCGAGGTTCGGCGGCTGCTGTGGAGGTTCGACGCGCTGGAACGGGACCACCCGTGGCTGCTCCCGGTCCTGCGGGACAGGCTCGGCATCCCGAACTTCGACCGGAGGTTCGTCGCTTGCTCCGAAGCACTCCGGTGCTGCGAGGAGGCTCGGATAGGAGGCTCGGACAACACCCATCACACCCAGCAGCAGCAGCAGCTGTCTCTGCAGCAGCTGGTGCTGGCTCGGCTGCTAGCAGTTAAATCATTTGATCGGCTTCCTCCCCCTGCTGCTCTCGCTCTAGCTCTCTCTCCTCAGGACTGCGACCACTTAGTCTCGTTCTTCGCCTCTCACGTCCGCTCGCCCTCCTCCTTTCTCCAGTCCCTCGCCAGCACCATCTCCTCTTCTTCCTCCTCTCCCTCGCCCTACACCCCTCAAGAGCTCGCACTTATCCGCTCGCTTCCTATCTTCAAAACCACCCTCGGGAATTTCACAGCCATTGACCCTGACTTGCACTGCGTCGCGCCACCTGTCGCGTTCTACCAACCAAAAGATGCCACGTGTCTGCAGGACAGGGACTCTCCCGGGGAGAAGGCCCTGCTGAGTTGTCTCGGCGTGAGAGTCATTGACGAGGCGGATGTTCTCGCGAAATTTGCGCTGCCCGGATTTGACGGGCAGGGCGAGGAGGAGAGGGAGAGGGTGCTGCAATACGTTGTGCAGCACTGGCAGCAGCTGAAGCAGAAGCCAGCCGTTGTGGACGTGCTGAAAGAGACAAAGTTTGTGATACCAGCGCCGCCCGCCGCCGATGCTGCCTCTCTCTTCCCTCCTCCTGATTCCTTCCCTGAAATCGCTCTCTCTGTTGCCGCTGCCACCACAGCACCCTCCACCACCTCCTCCTCCCCCTACCCTTCCCACCCTCTCGACTCTTTCCCCTCTGCTTCAATTTCTTCTGCCCGAGTGCGCCCGTGCGATCTCCTCGACCCAGCCAACGACCTCCTCCGGCAAGTTTTCGTGCACTGCCCAGAAAGGTTCCCGGGCGGGCAGTTTGAAACTTCGCGGTGGCTGCCCGTGCTGCGGGACTGCGGCCTCCAATCCGCCTTCACTCCCGACCTCTTCCTCCAATGCGCTTCCGCCGTGGAAGCGCGGTACATCTCCTTCCTGGAAACTTCCTCTGCTGCTGCAGCAGCAGCTGCAAGTACTGCTGGTGGCACCGCCGCTTCAGCTGCTGCTGTTGGCACTCCATCGGATTCGTTTCTGCTGTTTGGAGAAGAGGACCCTTCTCAGGAGAGCGAGACGGGGGACTTTGAGAATGTGGATTTGTTTTCGGGAGGCCGCACCACCGGTGGCAGCAGTGGTGGTCTGTCGACTGCTGCTGGAGCAGCAAGAGGAGGAGGGGGGGTGGTGGGAGCGCGGCCAGTGGTGGGGGTGGAGGAGGAGCTGTGGGTGGTGGCAGGGCGGCTGACAGAGGCGCTGCTTGCGAACGTGGCCGTGGTGTTTGGGAGCAGTGCCATGGAGTCGCTGGGGCAGATCAGGTGGGTTGTTGAACTTGGTGGGGCACAGGAAGCAGACCAGAGGTTGAGGGTTTATGGTTAGGGGTCAAGCTGACAGAGGCGCTTCTTGCGAATGTGGCAGTGGTGTTTGGCAGCAGTGCTGTGGAGTCGCTGGGGCAAATCAAGCGATTCCCTTCTTTATATGCACCAAAGAAGCCGTCTAGCCCCCTCCTCCTCCCATGTCTCTCTCCCAGGTTCATCCCAGCGGAGCGCGGAATACCGACTGGCGGGGCAGCAGTGGATCGGCGGTGCCTCGCCAGCTACGCTGCCTGCGTGGCGCCCTCTGATTGGCCGCTCGCGTGGACGGCGGTGCCTGTGCTGGCGAGGGAAGCCTTTGTCCCGCCGCAGTTCACGTGGCTCAAGCTGGGCCTCAAATCACCGCCGCCTCTCAGCCTTGTTCTCACACACCTCAAGGTACGCCCTCTTGCACCCGACCTAAATATTGTAGCCACATCTGGTGTGCACTTTCTCGCATGGACTAGGGCTGCCTGTGCTGGCGAGAGAAGACTTTGTCCCGCCGCGATTCATATGGCTCAAGCTGAGGCTCAAGTCTCCGCCTCCTCTCTCGCTCGTTCTCCCTCACCTGAAGGTACGCTCGCCTGCACCCATGTACGGTCGTCCCATGGCGTGTGCACTTGCTCACATGTACTAGCAGCGCCTGTGTTGGGTATTTGTCCCAAGCTGGGCCCCCGCCCGCGGTTCACGTGGCTCAAGCTGGGCCTCAAGTCGCCCCTGCCCCTCTCTCGCTCGACTCACACACTTGGCGCTATAATTGTGACCCATGGTGCTATCTCCGAAGGTGAGCGTTGTTGCACTGAAAGCGCTGTTTCATCAAAGTGTCTCTGCTTGGCAGTGTTTCAAGTCCCTCTCCCCATACCAGCTACCGAGCAAACCTCAAGCACGTTCTCTCCACTTCTCTCTCTTTTCCTGCCCCGCTCCTACTCGTCTCCTACTCCTTTCCTCTGTTCCCTCTGCCCCCACCCCCTCACAGGTCTTGAATCAAGGGGGAGGAGAGGAAACGCCCGCCCATTGGCCAAACGCGGTGAGAGGCAAATCAGTGGAAGAAGACTTTGAAAACACCTTCAAGTTCCTCTCCTCCCTTCCCTCATCCCCCCCCTAACCCCCCCGCCCACAGGTATTGGGTCGAGGGGGGGGAGAGGAGACGCTTGCCCGTTGGCCAAATGTGGTGGGAGGCAAGTCAGTGGAAGAAGCCTTCGAGCAAATCTTCAAGTTCCTCGCCTCCCATTGGTCCTCCCTCGACCCGCCTGACATCCGCGCCTTAAAGCCCGTCTCCCTTGTCCCCGTCGCCAACGGCACGCGCCTCGTCCCAGCCTCGGCGCTCTTTGCCAGGCTCGGCCCGGACCTCGCGCCGTACCTGTTCGAGCTGCCTCGGCGGTTCCTGCCATTCTCCCAGCTACTGGTGGACCTTGGTATGCACGATTCGCCTTCTCCCTCTGCCCTCTCCTCCTTCCTCTCTGCCTTGCACCGCTCTTCTGGAGGGCAGAGGCTCAACCCGAACGAGCTACGAGCTGTGCTGAGGATCCTAAGACTCGTGTGTGAGGGAGAGGAGGAGAAGGGAGGAGGTTCGGGCAGAGGAGGAGGAGAAGCAGGAGGAGGAGGGGTGGCAGGAGCATTCTCTTCTCTTGCTTCCTCACCCTCGCCTCTGCTTGCTCACGCGGTGGTTCCAGATGATTCATGCCGGCTAGTACCGGCCCATTCCTGTGTGGTCGTAGACCCAGCGGCTGTGTTCCTAGCCAATGAAATCGACCCGCGCTGCTTGCGCCTCGTCCATCCGCTCCTGCCGCCGAGCCACGCGGCCAGGCTCGGCATCCCGAGCCTGTCGCAGGTGATCGAGCAGGAGCTGGACCCGAACCTGCCATTGCAGCAGGTAGGCTCGGTGGGGGGTGTGTCTCTTAGGAGTGTCGGGGAGAGGATCAGTAGCAGGGAGTTTGCTGCTGCTTCGTGGTCTATCTTGCACCAATTTGCAGCAGCAGCGGCAGCATCAACTCCTTCCTCTCTCTTCTCATCCTCCTCCTCTACCACACTCAGTTCATCGCCCCTCTCCTCTTCCTCCTCATCCTCCGCCGCCTCCTCCTCCTCTCCTTTCTCTTTTCGCACGAGAGATGTCGCTCCTCCCTCCTCCCACGCCCCACCATCCTTCTCCCCCATCCAATCACGCGATGACACGTGGCGGGCGCTCACGCGTGCAGCGCAGGGCCTGCGGTTTGTGTCGGCCCTCCACACGCGATTTGTGATACTGCCGTCCCGTAAGGTGGTGCCACGTAGGACGACACGTCAGCACCACCATCAGAATCAGCATCCTCGTCCCAGCAGCAGTACCGTAACTAGTAGCTCACCTTTAGGGGGCTTGCATAGTGGTGTGAGGGACCCAGATATAGGGTCGGTGGGGAGTGCAGTAGCAGCAGCAGTGGCAGCAGCAGCAGCTGCTGAAGCGAGAAGAACAGACAAAGCCAGTAGCAGTAGAGAAGCAGGAGGAGGAGAAGGATCAACCACAGCACCAACAGCAACCACAGCAGCAGGAGCAGGGGCAGAGCTTTTCTGTGTGGATGGGCGGCAAGGTCTTGTCTTTATCTCGGCAGCATCTGCTACAGTAGCGTCTCTCCCGCACGTCCTATCTGCCGCCCTCAGCCAATTCCTGGGCTCTCCCGTATGCTTGCCTTTTGCCGCCCTGCTTGACTGTCCACCGAGCCTCCAACCGGGCCTCCGCCGAGCCTTGGCGCTCGGTTCTCCAGCAGCCCTGGTTTCTGCCACCTCTGGCAGCTCTGGATCAGGTTCGGAAGCGGAAGGCGAAGAGGAGGGGCGTTTGGGTGCAGAACTAGCCTCGGAAGGGCAGGCTCGGATGCCAAGCCTGTGGCAGCAGCGGGTGGCGGCGGAAAGGGGAGGCATGCCTGGGGAGGTTGTAGCAGCTGCTGACGTGGCACTGCTACAGTGCCACCCACTGAGGCCGTTCCACGCAGGGGAGGTTGTAGCGTGGAGAGAGGAGAGAGGGGGAGGAGGCGGGGGGTTGCTAGCAGGCAAATGGTTTGGGCAGGGGCAGGGGGCAGGAGGAGGAGGGGGAAGCGGTACAGCAGCAGGGAGCACACTTGATCCTGCCTCATCCTCGCCCGCAGCACCCGCATCCACGCTGCGCTATGGCCGCGTGGTGGCGGACGTGAGGGCGACAGCAGGCCAGGCGCTGTGCCGCGTGCAGGTGGAGACCTTCCCCAACGAGATGCGCCTGCTGCTCTCCTCCTCCATCCTCTCCTTCAAATCCTCCACCTCCTCTTCGGCTTCGGCTGCTGCAGCTGCGGCAACAGCAGCACCAGGAGAAGAGATTGCTCCTCCCTCTGCTGCTGCTGCCGCCTCCCCGGGCTCGTCGGCTCTTCCTCCTGCTTCTCCCGGTTTGGACGCTGCCAGCTCAGCAGCGGGGGCTGTGCCAGCTGGTGCCACGTCAGCGCCATCGGTGGTCCCGCCTGGCGAGGTGGTGCGGGCCGTGAACGACATGCTGGCGGCGGCGGGGATCCCACTGGGCGGCGGACAGCAACGGCTGCTGACTCAGCTGCTGATGATGCAGGAACAGGTGGCGGCGGTGGAGGCCACGCTGGCACATGAACAGGTGGGTCATTCTCATTGGCTGCTTGGCTGGTCTGATGTTCACGGCCTGGTTAGCCAAGGCCACTTGCACGTTCCGCATGCACCTCATTCCGCACCCTCCCATCTTCCCTTGTGTGTCCCCTGGCCTGGCATGTCCCCATTCTCCTCTGAACCCCTCTGAACCCCTCTGAACCCCTCTGAATCCTTCTGAACCCCTTTGAATCCCTCTGAACCCCCTATGAATCCCTCTGAACCCCCCTTTGAATTCCTCTGAACCCCTCTGAATTCCTTTTGAACCCCTCTGAATCCCTCTGAATCCCTCTGAACCCCTCTGAATCCCTTTGAACCCCTCTGAATCCCTCTGAACCCCCCTCTGAATCCCTCTGAACCCCTCTGAATTCCTCTGAACCCCTTTGAATCCCTCTGAACCCCTCTGAATCCCGTGGCACCGCAGGCACGAGCGGAGCAGGCAGAGAAGGAAGCAGAGACAGCCAAGGCGGCGTGGACGTGCCGCATCTGCCTGGCTGCTGACGTCAGCGCGGTGCTGGTGCCATGCGGGCACGTGCTGTGCGCCAGCTGTATCGCTAGCGTGCACCGCTGCCCCTTCTGCCGCTCCCACGTGGCGCAGACAGTGCGCCTTTTCAGGCCGTAGGATTCAAATACTGCGTCTATATGGTATGGTATATACTATACGTAGGTGGTAGGGTCCAATTTGTGCCTGCTTGTTCAGGCTGTAGGGAGGAAGGATTCAAACCGGAGTCATTAGTCAAACTGTGATACATCCTTAGCTGGGTAGGCTATATTATGTACCGACAGTAGTCGAGTGTGCAAGAGCAAAGTGGTGGTGGTGGTGCATGAAGCATTTTTGCGCTTGCACATGACACGTTCTTTTTAGCACCAGACCAGACCAGACAGCCCCCTCAAGAGTTTCCCACAGCCCATTGGGTTGAGTTGCCAGAGGCTTTGTTCACCCAAGCATACCCATCTGAGCATGCCAGCATGCACTGCTAGTTCCTCGCATTCACATCACATCTCTTCGCACTGAAAAAACAGGCGATTTCTCCTCTGAAACACCAAGGTGAGGCCAGGAAATTGTGCTCTGCAGAGGTGGCACTGACATGAGCATGTCCATATCCTCGTTATTAGCAGAGCCAATGGAACAGGCATATATTTCTTACGAAGATACAAGGCCCTGCCATGCAAACAACTACCGTCAAATGACCACCCAAACGTCCATCCTCATCCCTCTGAACAAGAGCGCTGCTGATGCTCATCTCCTGCCGCCCTTCTTGGCCGGCGCCTTGGACTTCTTAACAATAACGATTTCGCCCTTATCGAGGACGGGGATCTTGGACATGGTGCCGAGGGCGCCGTACCGCTGGTTGAACTTGTCCACTCGACCAGCCTCTGTCAACAGCGTGTTCTTGCTGCCCTGGAACAGCGGGTGGTTGCCTGGAGAGGAGGTGGGGAAGAGGGGGGATGAGGAGGGGGGGATTAGTATACAGGACAGGTGTTCTTGCCCCGCCTCCGTCAGCAGCGTGTTCTTGCTGCCCTGGAACAGTGGGTGGTTGCCTGGAGAGGAGGTGGGGAAGAGGGGGGATGAGGAGGGGGGGATTAGTATACAGGACAGGTGTTCTTGCCCCGCCTCCGTCAGCAGCGTGTTCTTGCTGCCCTGGAACAGTGGGTGGTTGCCTGGAGAGGAGGTGGGGAAGAGGGGGGATGAGGAGGGGGGGATTAGTATACAGGACAGGTGTTCTTGCCCCGCCTCCGTCAGCAGCGTGTTCTTGCTGCCCTGGAACAGCGGGTGGTTGCCTGGAGGGAAGGAGGGGCGGGAGTGAATGCAAGCTAACCTTGCCGCTGATCAGGCCTAAGGAGACGTCAGGCTAACCAACTAGACGACGTGAGAATAACTGACCGAACGTCAGCAAATATCTAACGAGCCGTCAGTCTAACTTGCTAATTTCAGGACGACCTTAACCGACGAGACGACAAATTCTTCTGCGTGGCCAGAGTGGTCACCCCATCCTCGCCATTGCAAAAACATTTGTACGCGTTAGGGCTAATAGTGTATGCCCTCCGTGCGTGCACGACGGCCATAACTGACTAGACGCCGACGACACATTCCGTTGCGTGACCAGGATGGCTGGCCACCCTTCATCGCCATTGCAAAACACTATATACTCGCTATAGAGCCCACGCTGAGTGCCCGGCCTTACCTGACCAGACGTCGACGACGTATTTCTCCTGCGTGCCCATGGTGGCCATCACCTCCTCGCCATTGCAAAACACTTTATCCTCGTTATAGAAATGAATGCTGTCCGAGAACCCTACCTGACCAGACGTCGACGACGTATTTCTCCTGCGTGCCCATGGTGGTCATCACCTCCTCGCCATTGCAGAACACTTTCGACTCCTTATAGAACTTGGGGTGGATGCCCTCCTTCTTGCACACCACGCGCGCCTCGCCGCGTTGCGCCTGTGAACACGGGAATCGAGGAATGCGGGTAATGAGATGCAGTAGAGCACAATTTCGGGCCCATCATAATCAAAACTCGTCAGATCCTTCTTGTACACCAAGCGCGCCTCGCCGCGTTGCGCCTGGGAACATTTGAATTCAAGGATTGCGGGTAATGAGAGATGCACTAGTACACAACTTCGGGTTGTGCATCACTGGCATTCGGAGTCAAATCTCTCCTTCTTGCACAACACTCGCGCCTCGCCGCATTGCGCCTGTGAAAATGTAGATAAAGAAATGTCAGTCACGAGATAACATGAGAGCAAAAACCTTGACTCTAATTGGCTCTAACTGAAAAAAAAGAGTCAATTCTCTACTTCAAGCACACCCCACGTGGCTCGCCGCGTTGCGCCAGTTTTGAGTCGACTCAAAACCACACCCCACGTGACGCGCCGCGTTGCGCCAGTTTTGAGTCGACTCAAAACCACACCCCACGTGACTCGCCGAGTTGCGCCAGTTTTGAGTCGACTCAAAACCACACCCCACGTGATTCGCCGCGTTGCGCCAGTTGCGACCATCAGAGCGGAGATAAGAGGTGACCGTGAAAGCCTAACAGAGCGATCGATGTGTCGACTGAAAGGGTACCTCTCCGCGTTGTCTGGAACGAAAGCGCTTTGAAGGAAAGGCGCTAGGATATAAGATAACAAACGCGGCTTCCGGAGAGCGCGGAGCGGATAATAATAATCTGGCCAAATACCGTCCAATAATCTGGCCGTTCAACCTAGAGCACTACTCCAGGTTATACTGGAAGCTAAATCAACGCTAACCTGAAAGTTCTGACGGCCCGCAAACGCGGCGGAAGACACGGCGCCGAGGACGGACGCGTCGCAGCGGAGAGTCGCCATGGCTGCAGACTAAGCGGCTTCAAGTAGGAAGCGATATAACGACCTAGCAACACTGAAGTCGGAAGCCCGAAACCTCGAGTAGGGAGGCCAAGCAAGGTGCTATGTATGTATCCTACGTAACTCTATGTGAAACTTCCTTGGGCTGGGATGAAATCTAGGGTGTGGAAATTAGGGTTTCGAGTACGAAAACGACCAAGCGGCTTGGGGAAATGGGGAAGGTGGGAGGCTACCACTTAGCCGTGTTCAGCTAAGTCTATTTAAGTGCTACTTACGAAAAAGTGTGATGTGATGTGGGGATGGCGGGGGGGAGGCAAAGTGCTGCCGTTGGGGGAACCAGGGGAAATACGATGGGGGTGGCGCAGCGGAAGCGGGGGCTGTGGTTAGGGGAAGTTCGACGGTGTGGATGCAAGTTTGTGGTCTCAACATCTGGTTGACGGTACGACGACGTGGCAGTGTGTCTGGCGCCATCGCCACGTCAAACTCTGCACCAACTTCGCGAACTTCTCGAGATAGGGTGACATCCTTCTCCGCCAGTGCTGTTCCAGTTCTCGTTGAAAGAAAACTTTCCAGAAGCTTTTGTACAAGAGGAAAGAAAGAAACTAAAATAATGATTCCTACAAGCAATGCTATACAGGCATCGACAGTTTCACGAGCAGCAAGCAATCAGTTATCGGTTCCGGCACATCATTTAGAGCGGCTAGTAGCAGGCTTCGAATTTATGCATTTCTTGTCTATTTACAGGCTCCTGGAAACGTACCTACAACTTACCGTCATCGCCCGGATATAAGACATATATGTCTTATCTCGTACACGGGCAAAAATGCTTGGGTTGTCTTATATTTGGGACGGTTTAGGGTGTCTTATCAGTCTTATAAATGGACAAAGAACCGTTTAGAAGATACCCCCTCGTTATACAATTGCCCCTAACCCCTACACTGGCTTAACTCGTACACACAAATAGGTGTCTTATAATGAGGCTACCCCGTTTATAAGAGACACCCGGATAATAGACACCCCCTGTCTTCTATTCAACACTGCCTTATATCCGGGTGATGACGGTAGAATGGCGCATAAGGACGTATGTTGCAGCAGCTACTGTTTTGCTTGGTATCACTCAGCTGACAAAGACCCCTGATAAAAAAGCATCAACAAGAAAAGAGATGAGATGTGACGATGAAACGTGGGGAAACATTGGGCGTGCGGTGCAGACACACAACAAATATCCTTGCTACTGAGGCAATACCCTATCGGAACAGAATAGTTGAAGCTGCTAACAGTGCAAAACCAATGACAACCTACAGCAGGGCTGTACATATTGTATGAGCACAGGGCAACTTACCACCTCATGGCAGCAGCAGCGGAAATCGCAGTCAGTCATTCGTTAAGGGATGGCTGTCTTAATAACACCGTGAACACCAGTCAACGCTGGTCAACGCTGCTGTTCCCCCTCCTCCCCCCAGCTGCACCTCTGTCCAGGCCTGCTGTCAGCTCTCTCTCCTGCCAAGTCATCGCTGTCAGCGCTATTGTTCCCCCTCCTCCAGCTGCACCCGGCCCCGCCTTTAGCACTGTATCCACATGCCCTCGCACCTCCTCCGACAGACTGCTCACTTCACCCATATCACACGACAGAGGCGTGTCCTTGGCCTCCTCGCACAAGAGGAGGAGGTATTGCAGGTCGCACACCTCCGCCAGGTGGTGATAGCACGCCTTGTGGAAGTCCCTGGGGCGCAGTAAACCCTGGTCAACGCCAGTCAACGCCAGTCAACGCTGCCCTTCCTCCTCTTCCTCCAGCTGCACCTCCGGCCCTTCTTCCAGCACTTTATCCACACGCCCTTGCACCTCCTCCAACAGACTCCTCACTTCACCCATATCACACGAAAGAGGCGTGTCCTTAGCCCCGTCACACAGCAGCAGCAAGTAGTGCAGGTCACACACCTCTGCCAGGTGGTGGTAGCATGCCTTGTGGAAGGCCCTGGGGCGCAGTTCAAGCAGGACCGACTTGAACGGCATGAAGATGGCGTTGGTGATCGCTGCCCCGTGTGCGGCAACAAACAGCACGGCTCGATTAAAGAGGGCCTTGGCTGCAAGAGAGGTGGGGGCGATAGGAGGGGGTTGGCAGGAAGAAGAGGGGAGATAGGAGGGGGGTGACTTGATTGAACGGCATGAAGATGGCATTGGTGATCGCTGCCCCATGTGCGGCAACAAAGAGCACAGCCCGATTGAACAGAGCCTTGGCTGCAAGGTGGTGAATAATGGAGGGGATTGGGAGGAAGAAGAGGGTGGAATGTTGCTGAAGGCACTGGTATGTTGCAAGGGGCGCTGCCGTGAAGATGGTGTGGGCGAGTGCGAGAGACACTGCTCCCTGCACCTCTGTGCATGCCTTGTGGAAGTCCCTGGGGCGCAGTTCAAGCAGGACCAACTTGAACGACATGAAGATGGCGTTGGTGATCGCTGCCCCGTGCGCTGCCACGAACAGCACGGGTCGACGGAAGAGCGCCTTGGCTGCATGCAGGGTAGGGAAATTGCAGAGACGACTTTTGAGGCGCCTCAAAGACGACTTTTGAGGCGCCTCAAAGACGACTTTTGAGGCGCCTCAAAGACGACTTTTGAGGCGCCTCAAAGACGACTTTTGAGGCGCCTAAAAAATAATGCATGCAGGGTAGGGAAATTGCAGAAAGTTGGGGAAAATCGGGGATGATTGGGAGGGAGGGTGTTGGCATGAAGATGGCGTTGATGAGCGCTGCTCCATGCACGGCGACCAACACAACAGCACAGAGATGAACGCTGCTGTGTTGGTCCCGGCGACCAACACAACAGCACAGAGATGAACAGCACGGCGACTTTTGAGTCGACTCAAAAGTCACCTGATGAGCGCTGCTCAGAGCACGGCGACCAACAGAACAGGCCCCCCCCCTCCCCCCCCCCCCCCCTCCCCCCAGTTCGGCCCACGCTTCTCCCGCTCACCATCAGCAATGCGCAGACTGCCTTCAAACACCACCACCCACTCCCAAGGGAACAGAGAGCACAGCAGCCCCTCCACCTGCCCTCGCTGCTGCAGTGACATAATGCGCGCATGCAACCTTAATAGACCCCACATTCACTGATAGCTTGAATCATAGCCCACTGCCCCCTCTCCTCTCCGCACATACCCCAATCGCCCGTTCACCATCAGCAATGCGCAGGCTGCCATCAAACACCACCACCCACTCTCGCGGGAAGAGAGAGCACAGCAACTGCTCTACTCGTCCTCCGCAGAACCCACACACACAACCACTTTTCGCCATCTCACCATCAGCAATGCGCAGGCTGCCATCAAACACCACCACACGCTCTCTCGGGAACAGAGAGCACAGCAGCTCCTCCACCTCCCCGTTCTGCTGCAGTGCCACCATATCCCATCGTAATCACAGGGGAGCAAGATTCCCTTCCTTTCCCCCTCTCACCATCAGAAATGCGCAGGCTGCCATCAAACACCACCACTCGTTCCCGAGGGAACAGAGAGCACAGCAGCTCCTCCACCTCCCCATGCTGCTCCAGTGCGCGCGTGTTGTATCGCTGTGCTAGCACCACCACCCAGTCAGCAGGCGCACCTGGGAAGAGAGTAGACAACCGACAGCACATCAGCCAGTGGATAAGTCAGCACAAGTGAGACGAGGTGTGAAGATGCAGCATACACACACAGAAGCTCCTCCACCTCCTCCTGCTGCTCCACTGTCCGAGTGTTGTACCGCTGTGCTAGCACCACCACCCAGTCAGCAGGTGCACCTGGGAAGACATTGTAGAGTGAGAAGCGACATCACAGGAATGAAAGGAGATATGAGGGCACAGGGGACACACACACAGAAGCTCCTCCACATCCCCATGCTGCTCCACTGTCCGAGTGTTGTACCGCTGTGCCAGCACCACCACCCAGTCAGCAGGCGCACCTGTGAGCAAAGACACATCGGGTAACAAAGGAACAACAGAGAGATGAGAAGAGGCACCAAGCAGGGCATGCGATAGGTATCAGAGCACATCAAAGATCGCACAGCAGCTCCTCCACCTCCTTGTGCTGCTACATCGCCTGGGTGTTGTATCGCCGTGCTATCACCACCACCCAGTCCGCAGCCACACCTGGGAAGACACAGTGGAGAAGACAGCAAACAGGGGGCACAATGCACTTGAACAAAGCACCTACGAACACAGAAGCTTCACCATCTCCCCTTGCTGCTCCAGTGCCCAGGTGTTGTGTTGTATCGCCGCAGCAGCACTCGGGAGGAGCCACGGGGACTCCTCAGAGAGGGTTCATTGGTCCACGCTAGTCAACGCTGGTCAACTCTGGTCAACGCTGGTCAACGCTGGTCAATCATATTGGCCATGTATGGCGCTGTTGATGCGCGGTTCCCAGTCTGGAAGGAACATGGAGGTCAACGCTGGTCAACCCATGTCAGGCTCACCTGGGTAGCCAATTGATGGAGTATGACTGCATGGCGCTGTTGATGCGCGACGTCCAATCGGGAAGGAGGAACATGGAGGTCAATGCTAGTTAACGCTGGTCAACACTAGTCAATGCTAGTCAATGCTGGTCAACACTAGTCAAAGCTAGTCAACCCATGTCAGCCTCACCCGGGAAGCCAATGGAGTATGACTGCATGGCGCTGTTGATGCGCGGGGTCCAATCAGGGAGGAACATGGGGAGGCCATCGGGCGGCAGCAGATACAGCCGACGGAAGTGACGCCAGAGGGAGCGACTGGGCCGCCCGCACCACTGGTAGTAGGGCTGGCAGGGTGGGAGAGGGGGCGCGGGGAAGGAAGGGGGGGAAGGCGTGAGGGGCAGAGAGTTAGAGGGGGGTGTGCGCAGCGTGTGGGGGATCAGAGGGAGCGGCTGGGCCGCCCGCACCATTGGTAATAGGGCTGGCAGGGGCAAGCGCAGGGGGGAAACGCGGAAGCGTGGAGTGAGTGGGGTGGAGAGGGGGAAAGTGCGAGGTGAGCAGGGTGGAAGGGCGTAGGAGTCTGAGCACTGGACTGGGTCATACCCAGGCCGATAAAGAACGTCTCCAGCCTTGATTTTTGAGGCGCCTAAAAAATCAACCCAGCCAGGCCAATTCAGAACGTTTCCAGCCTTGGGCATTGTGCGTTTTATGAAGAGTCTCAAAAGGAGTCTGAGCACTTGACTGGGCCATACTCAGGCCGATAAAGAACGTCTCCAGCCTTGGCATTGTGCGTTAATCGGCACAGGCAATCCAGGATGTCAATTTGCGGGCACTGCACAGCCATGGGGCAGCAAGCGCAGCAGGTGCAGCCTAAACCCTCAACCCAGAACCCTGCACCTTAAACACCTCATCATCCGGAACCACCCACAGGTCCATGTGAGCTATATCCATCCCAATAAAAAACGTCCCCAGCTTCTCCATGAAATCCATCTGCACTGCAGGTACTGCACGGCGATCGGCAGCGTGCGCAGCAGGTACTGCCTAAACCCGAAGCCCTGACTCCGAAACCTTGACCTTCAACCCATGGATTTTGGCTGTCTAGGTGGATTGGATACCACAGCACAGGCGTACCTGCAGCACTTGGTGAGCAAAAAACACCTCGTCGTCTGGCACAACTCGCAGGTCTATATGCACCAGATCCAGGCCGATAAAAAACAAGACTCGTGCAGCATGCCTCAGTGCAAGAAAAGGGGGTGTACCTGCAGCACCTGATGAGCGAAGAACACCTCGTCGTCCGGCACCACTCGTAAATCCATGTGAACCATATCCATGCCGATGAAAAAGGTTCCGAGCTTCTCCAGGAAGTCCATCTGCAGGTACTGCACTGCGATGGGCAGCGATCACAGGAGGTGCTGCCTAAACCCTAAACCCTACACTCTGACAGCAGTACCTGCAGCACCTGATGGGCGAAGAACAGCTCATCATCCGGCACCACCCTCAGGTCCATGTGAATTATGTCTATGCCGATAAAGAAGGTGCCCAGCTTCTCAAGAAAGTCCATCTGCAGGTACTGCACGGCGATGGGCAGCGCGCGCAGCAGGTGCGGCGCCTTGGCTCGGTGCTTTGGTGTGTTGGTGCGTCAGTGTGGTGGAAAGGAGGGGCTTACCTGCAGCACTTGGTGAGCAAAGAACACCTCGTCGTCCGGCACCACCCTCAGGTCCATGTGAACCATATCCATGCCGATGAAAAAGGTCCCCAGCTTCTCGAGAAAGTCCATCTGCAGGTACTGCACGGCGATGGGCAGTGAGCGCAGCAGGTGCTGCCTAAACCCTAAACCCTGACAGCCGTACCTGCAGCACCTGATGAGCGAAGAACACCTCGTCGTCCGGAACCACCCTCAGGTCCATGTGAACCATCTCCATGCCAATGAAAAAGGTGCCCAGCTTTTCCAAAAAGTCCATCTGCAGGTACTGCACGGCGATGGGCAGCTTGCGCAGCAGGTGCGGCGCCTTGGAGAGCATGAAGAAGACGGGCACGAGCTCGAGAATGCCGTGGTAGAACTGGTACGCGTTCCAATGCGCCAGGTTTATGATTCTATCGTACACCGTGACTCTGGTACCTTCTGGGATGTCGAACTGGAACAAGAGGTGGGAAAGGGAACAAGGCAGGAAGGCACGGAGGGGCGGGGAAAGGAGAGGGGAAGGTGGCGGGATGGGGTTGGGGGAGAGGAAGGTGAGGGGAGGGGTGGGGTTGGGGGGAAAGGGAAGAAGGTTAGTAGGGCGGACAGGTGTAGGTAGAGCTGTAGTTTCAGTTGAGAAACAGGGGAAAATGCTTGATGATTCAGTTCATTTACCTTGTGCTACGCGTTCTAGAATCATAAAACATATTACTTTGTGCTCCGTACCTCTTACCTCGTCCTTAGCCATCAAATAGGAGAGAATATACTTCACCTTGTGCCCCACCACTTCTCCACCTCTCACCGTGTGCTCCACCACTTCTCCACCTCTCACCGTGTGCCCCACCACTTCTCCACCTCTCACCGTGTGCCCCACCACTTCTCCACCTCTCACCGTGTGCTCCACCACTTCTCCACCTCTCACCTTGTGCCCCACCACTTCTCCACCTCTCACCGTGTGCCCCACCACTTCTCCACCTCTCACCGTGTGCTCCACCACTTCTCCACCTCTCACCTTGTGCCCCACCACTTCTCCACCTCTCACCTTGTGCCCCACCACTTCTCCACCTCTCACCGTGTGCCCCACCACTTCTCCACCTCTCACCGTGTGCTCCACCACTTCTCCACCTCTCACCTTGTGCCCCACCACTTCTCCACCTCTCACCTTGTGCTCGCTGCCGCAGCCATTGCGATCATAGAGGAACGAATAATTGAACGCCTGTCCGCGCGAGTTGAAGTACACGTGGCACAGGTTGAACATCTGGCTCACCCATGCCAAGTGCCACAAGAGGGAATAGGACTTGCCATGTGCTCCTCTCCTCTCACCTTGTGTTCGCTGCCGCAGCCATTTCGGTCGTAGAGGAACGAGTCATTAAACGCCTGTCCGCGCGAGTTGAAGTACACGTGGCACAGGTTGAACATCTGGCTCACCCATGCCAAGTGCCACAAGAGGGAATAGGACTTGCCATGTGCTCCTCTCCTCTCACCTTGTGTTCGCTGCCGCAGCCATTTCGGTCGTAGAGGAACGAGTCATTAAACGCCTGTCCGCGCGAGTTGAAGTACACGTGGCGCAGGTTGAACATCTGGCTCACCCACGCGAAGTGCCACACAAGGAAATGAATTTTACCTTCTGCTCCTCTCCTCTCACCTAGTGCTCTGCCATGGAAGGGGAGGGCTAGTACTTTACCTCCTGCTCCCCTCACTTCTCACCTTGTGTTCGCTGCCGCAGCCATTTCTATCGTAGAGGAACGAGTCATTAAACGCCTGTCCGCGCGAGTTGAAGTACACGTGGCGCAGGTTGAACATCTGGCTCACCCACGCAAAGTGCGGAATGTCATCCTCCGCGTGAGAGCACTTCGGATCAAACAGTATCTTCACTGGCTTGATATTCAGCGGCGAATCCACCATAACTTTCTTTTTCCGCGGGCAGTTCAGCGGCGGTAAAGCTGCCCGCCGACTCAAATCTTCCATATCCGGGCAGTGGCACGCGTCTACAGCGGTGAAATTCCCCGAGCACTGCTGAAAATCCGGGCACTCGCCGCCTTTGCACCTGATATGCATGTCCTCCGTCTGCTGGTGGGACTGGTTGTGATAGTCTAAGAACACGTGATGTAGAGACTCCATTAGGTATCGTGTAGTTAGATTCTCGGACCGCAGGGAGCCCTCCGCGCGGAGGTACTCGCGGAGATTGTTCTTCCCCGGACCCAGCTTGCGCACCAGCCGCTCCTTCCACCGCTTCCGCCGCGAAAAGGCCCCCGCGCGCAGATCGCCCGCACCCAGCCTCCTGCGCGGCGGAAAGGCACCCTCGCGCGCGTCAACCGAAATAAGCTTTCTGCGGAGGACTTCGCCGCTCTGCTCGTCGCCTCCCCCGCTGCCTGCGGCGATCCGCCGCGCTCCTTCGGTGATCTGCGCCGTTCGTGCGGCGATCCGTCCCCCTCCTGTGTCGGAAACTTGTGGCTCTAAATCGTGTGATTCGTCATCGTCTAACTTCCACGGCGCCACGTCATCTTCCTCGTCTGGAATCAGGGAACCGATCGGCCGCGAATCGATGGACGGACGAGGATCGATGGACGGGAGGGCGCTAGAGATGGAAACCGGAAACGATTGCCGCGACGGCTCAGCGTTATGCGACGTCATCGGAAACTTCGTCGAAGGGGGTACATTCTGAGACGTCGAAGACGAAACGGTACTGTGAGAAGTGGTTGAAGGAACGGCGCTACGAGGAGATTTCGGGGAGGATCGCACAGTCGAAGTTGCGAAAGCGAGCAGCGACAATGCCATGACCGCGACAATCTGGGACCGGGAGACGATGGATCTGATGCGGTGTGAGATGGAACGAGATCGGTGCGAGGTGAGTCGAGTCCAGTACGAGTTTACGGGGAAATGAGACGGCCATGGAACGAAAATGCGTGGTTCCGATGCTGTTCCCGCCATGACTAACGTCTTGAAAGGTTTCTAGAACACGTGAGGGTGTCCGGAACTCAAATAAGACGGATCAATCAACAGAAGAGTGTCGTGACGCGAGGAACCGTGACAGAAATCGGAAGTTCCGACGTAAAGCGGTCAGCGCGCGGGAAAAAGGAGAATCGGCTAGAGCGGATGTTGCGAGTGGAGCCTTATACTTTCGTTGTCCCGTATCAGTAAGCCAGGCCTATTATCCCCGTCAGCAGGAACGCGTGGAAGATGGATTCTGCAACAAATCTCCGGCACTAGGATTCAGCAATCGGCAGCACCAGACCAGACCAGGCTCCGAAGTGTACAAGCTTGATGGATGGATTGTGCAAAAAGCAAGCAAGACGAGGTCACGCACGGCTCACAAGGTCATGGGGATTGTCGAATGTGGTTCAGCTGGTTCCCGGTATTGTATCATACCACTCACGAACGCAGCAGACCGAACCAAAATCTCCTCATCGTCCCCAACCTCTGAAAGACTTGAGAGCGAGCCAAGGCTGAGGATTGATGTCAGGTCTACACCACACCTCTCTGAAGCTCGGTTCAGTAGTATTTTAAACGGTAAAATGGGTGTTCGGATTTCTCCGCTTTGTAACTTCCCGCACAAGAGAAAAACCCTGTACGTGAAACGAAAACTTCTGAGAATAGTTTCGCCAGCTGACCTGTTCAAACGAATTTCGCCGGACACGCCCCCGATGTCGGCGGCGTTTGCCCAGACGAGCGAACACACATTCGTCAGTTGACGCTACAGTGATTCGTCAGGTGTGCTTTGTTGGATTGGAAGGTTGCATTGCAGGTGGCCACATGATTGCCAGCTGAATCAGGTGGCTACTGATCATGACTGGTCACCTGGAGGTCATCTTGAGAGGAGTCGATAAATATGTCGGGCGGAGGTACATGCAATCTTTCTACTTTCTTATAGGTGAAGTGATTTCATCTTTATTCGTGCGGTGCACCATTCCGTGACGTAAATTGCTGATCTCATTCACCATGGACCTGACATCTATCCGCTGATGATGATGGTTATTTTGAGCCTATGCCATGGATGAAAAAAAAAACCAATAGACCAAATTCCACTACAATTACCAGCACAGAATCCCTTTTAAGGGCATGTTCCTACAGCCCCTTATCAGGCCAACCTCTTATCAGGCTTGCGTCACAACACACTGAAATTTCCGTAAACCCAAAAGCCTTCGCAAGTTTTACCAGGCAAGCCTGACAAGAGGTTTGCCTGATAAGGGCGTAGGAAGATGCCCTGAAGACAGCCCAAAAGCATATGCTCTAGTTAACCGGACACTCCAGTGACAACAGTGCTGTCATCAACTTCCAAACCAATCTCTTCTCCCTCAGTCTCCTCCCCACTTCCCTCCTCTCCCCCTCCCTCTCCACTTTCCACACCTTTCCCTCCCTCCACTCCCCCCTTCTTACCCTCCCCATCCCCCTCTCTCTTCCGTCCACCCAGCCTCTCCCTAATCCCTTCCTCAAGCTCCCTTGCAACCTCCACATTCTCCTTCAGAAAGTTTCTCGCGCCTTCCTTTCCCTGCCCGATCACTTCGCCGCCCTTTTTGTACCACGCACCAGAGAGCGTAAGCAACCCCTCCTTTACACCCAAGTCCAGAAGTTCCCCCTCCCGGGATATCCCGTGGCCAAACTCAATGTCGAATTCTGCCGTGCGGAAGGGCGGAGCAAGCTTGTTCTTGTTCACCGTTACGCGCACGCGGTTACCAACAATCTGAGGCAGAGAACGGGATGATGGGGTAGCAGGGGAGAAGCGGGGGGAGCGGGAAGGGAGGAGAGAATGGGGGGGGACAGAGGTAGAAAGAGCATGGGAGAAGGGAGGGAGGAGAAGTAAGTGTGAGCAGGCCCTCACTCATCTCCAAGTCCAGCAATTCCCCCTCCCGGGATATCCCGTGGTTGAACTCAATGTCGAATTCTGCCGTGCGAAAGGGCGGGGCAAGCTTGTTCTTGTTCACCGTTACGCGCACGCGGTTACCAACAATCTGAGGCAGAGAACGGGATGATGGGGTAGCAGGGGAGAAGTGGGGGGAGCGGGAAGGGAGGAGAGAATGGGGGGGGACAGAGGTAGAAAGAGCATGGGAGAAGGGAGGGAGGAGAAGTAAGTGTGAGCAGGCCCTCACTCATCTCCAAGTCCAGCAATTCCCCCTCCCGGGATATCCCGTGGTTGAACTCAATGTCGAATTCTGCCGTGCGAAAGGGCGGGGCAAGCTTGTTCTTGTTCACCGTTACACGCACGCGGTTACCAACAATCTGGAAAGAGAACGGGATGATGGGGTAGCAGGAGAGAAGGGGTGAGAGGGGGAAGAGAAGAGAGGAGAGAGTGGGAGGGGACAGGGTAGAGAGAAGATGAGAGAAGGGAGGGAGGAGTGAGTGTGAGCAACCCTTATTTCATCCCGAAGTCTAGGAGTTCCCCCTCCCGGGATATCCCGTGGCCACAAACTCATTGTCAAACTCTGCCGTGTGGAAGTATGCGGCAAGCTTGTTCTTGTTCGCCGTTGCCCGCACATGGTTACCGCAATCTGTGGCAGAGGTGGCATGGCGGAGAAGGAAGGGGGGAGAAGGAAAAGGATAGAATCAGAGAGGACAGGGGTAGAGAGAGGATGGGATGGGCGAAGGGGAAGGAGGAGTGCATGAAAGCAACACCTCAAACACTCCCAAGTCCAGGAGTTCTTTCCCCCTCCTGGGATATGCCAGGAACCGCCGTGGTTGAACTCAATGTCGAATTCTGCCGTGCGGAAGGGCGGGGCGAGCTTGTTTCTTGTTCACCTTCACACGCACGCGAATACCGACAATCTGTGGCGGGGAGAGGTTAGGAGCGGGAAGGAAAGAGTATGAGCTTGTTCCGATTCACCGTTGCACACACCACAATGCGTTTGTAACAGTCCGAATGATTCATCTCTCTCCCTGCTTCAGCTGCGACACTATCTTAATGTGCAACCTATCTGCGCGTGGAGAGTGAGTGCAGTGCCCCCAACTATGCTGTGCTGTGCTGTCGGGTGCAGGGGGTACTGCGGGGTGCTGAGGGAGGCTGAGTGGTGCATGAGGGGTGTTGAGTGGTGGTTGAGGGGTGCTAAACCCACCTTTTCTACCTGCTTCAGCTGCGCCACTCTCTTAATCTGCAGCCGCAGCGATGCATAGAACTTGAGAGCAATGCCCCCAGACGTACTGTTGGATCTGTGCATGATGGTGCTGTGTGGTGCTGAGGGGTGAGTTAGGGTGCTAAGGAGTGGTCACACACCTTCTCTCCCTGCTTCAGCTGTGCCACTCTCTTGATGTGCAGCCGCAGCGAGGCGTAGAACTTAAGAGCATTCCCGCCAGAAGTCACCTCCACGGGCATGCCCATGCCCGGCCCTCCCATCATTAGCTTCGACCGCACCTGTTTATGGTCAGGGAAGGAAGGAAGGTGGGGGGAAGAAGTAGAGTGCATGATGAGTGTGCGAAGGACTGTCCAATACATCTCTCCCACTTGCCTCCAGACGTCACCTCCACGGGCATGCCCATGCCCGGCCCTCCCATCATGAGCTTCAAACGCACCTGCAAGGAGGGAGGAGGGAGAGGTGGAAAAGGGGGTTAGGTCGACCTGGCGTCACCTCCACTGGCATGCCCATGCCCATGCCCATGCCCATGCCCATGCGCATGCCCGTACCCATGCCCATGCCCATGCCCATTCCTGGGCCTGCCAGCCATCATGAGCTTTGAACACAAATGAGGTCTCGCAGTAGGCCTTGCAGTTGTCTTTCATAGAGATTATATTCAAACCCACACACACACTCGATTCAAACCGCACACAGCAAATACTTGTACCTGGTCCCGCCTCCATGTCATTCCCACCGCACTGCACCCACCTGATTGACGAATATGAGCATGATCTGTGATCAATAGAGAGCCCCAGACAGCTTCCTCAGCGCCTGCGACATCATGCACGCCTGCAGGGCTATGAAGGAGAGAGGAAGGAGGAATGCCTCCCACATACCCCTCCCCACCGCACTGCACCCACCACCTGCCATTCCACCGCACTGCACCCACCACCTGCCATTCCACCGCACTGCACCCACCTGGTTGACGAATATGAGCACCGCTTGGGAGCGATTGAGAGCCCCTGACAGCCGCCTGCGACATCATGCGCGCCTGCAGGGCTATGCGGTATGTGCTGGGGACAATTGCCATCTTCACCGCACTGCACCACTGTACAATGTCCTCAGCGCCTGAGACATCATGCACACGCTATGAAGGAGAGGGGAAGGAGTGCCTCCCACCTACCCATCCCCACCGCACTGCACCCACCTGCCTGCCATCCCCACCGCAATGCACCCACCTGCTTGCCATCCCAACCGCACTGCACCAACCTGGTTGACGAATATCAGCACAGCCTGGGAGCGGTTGAGCGCCCCTGACAGCTTCCTCAGCGCCTGAGACATCATGCGCGCCTGCAGGGCTATAAATGAGTCTCCCATCTCGCCCTCTAGCTCTGCCTGGGGTACCAGCGCTGCCACCTGCATTCAGGAACGGATAAGCATGGGGCACCAAGTGGGGCCAAGTGGGAATGAGACATCATGCGCGCCTGCAGGCCTATGAAGGAATCATCCATCTCGCCCTCCAACTCCGCTTGGGGCACCAGCGCTGCCACCTGCAAGGAATATGAAGCAAGAGGGGCCAACTGGGAATGAGACATCATGCGTGCCTGCAGGGCGAACATAATGAAGGAGTCCCCCATCTCTCTTTCTACCTCTGCCTGCGGCGCGGGAGTGGGGCCAAGGGAGACATCATGCGTGCCTGCAGGGCGAAACACGAGCCACCCATCTCGCTCGCCCTGCAGCTCTGCCCGGGGTACCAGCTCTGCCACTGCCTTGAAACGCTAAAATTTAACCCTGAAAACCCTGAAAACGGATATCGGGGGAGTGGAGCATGAGGGGGGCCAAGAGGGGCCAAGTGGGGCCAAGGGAGACATCATGCGTGCCTGCAGGGCGATAAACAAGTCACCCATCTCGCCCTCCAAGCTCCAGCTCTGCCCGGGGTACCAGCGCTGCCACTGCCGTGAGACGCTAAAATCTAACCCTGAAAACCCTAGACCACTCACACTATCAACCACAATCATGTTATAAGCGCCACTCCTGACGTTCTGATCCACGAGGGCCAGGCCCGTCTCGCCACTGTCAGTTTGAGACAGGTGCATGTCCACGAGTCATGTCCACTCCCAGCACTGTAAACCCTAAACCCCGACCCCAACCCTAAGCCTCCAACTGTAAACCTGGACTGTACACACCACTCACACTGTCGATCACAATGACATCAGAAGCGCCGCTCCTGACGTTCTGGTCCACGAGAGCCAGGCCTGTCTCGCCACTGTCAGGCTGAGACAGGTGCATGCGAGTCATGTCCACCCCCAGAGCCTTGGACCTGAAACCCCGACTTTAAACCTTGATCCTGAACCATATTTCACGCACACTGTCAACCACAATCACGTCATAGGCGCCGCTCACCGGGGCAAGACCTGTCATCCCCCTGTTCCTAAACCGTAATCCTGAAACCCACAACTCGAAAGCACTCACACTGTCAACCACAAGGACGTCATAGGCGCCACTCCTGACGTTCTGATCCACAAGGGAAGGCAGCATGCAGAGGTCAGCATCCAGAGGGAAGCACTCGAGCTCTGGTGGGACGCATCTGTGCTTCAGTGAGTGCCTGATTGCCAACAGAATTCACCTAAAACTTGCATTGTACTCATAGAAATACTCACCCGAGGGAATCCTCCAATCCCAGGGGCGGCATCCAGGGCAATGGAGCCTGCCTGAGGGGATGACCGGGACGCAGCAGGCTGCCATGTTGGTATTGGTGGTTCAGTACGTGTCTGACTGCTTGCAGTAGGAGGCATGTACAGCACGCATGTTGACTTTTGGGTCGACTCAAAAGTCGACTGCTTGCAGTAGGAGGCATGTACAGCACGCATGCGTTGCCCGCACACACACTCACCCGAGGGAAGCCCCCAATCCCAAGGGCGGAGTCCAGGGCAATGGAGCGCGAGGGAATGACCGGGACGCGGTGCAAGGTCAGGTCAGCATTGGTGCTTCGGTGAGTGTTTGATTGCAACAGGATTCACCTGGAGCATGCAGTGCATTGCCCAGTGCCCACCCACAAACTCGTGACTCACCCGAGGGAAGCCCCCAATCCCGAGGGCGGAATCTAGGGCGATGGAGCCTGAGGGGATGACTGGGACGCGGTGGGCGGCCAAGTCCGCCTCGGTGCCGCCCAGAACCATCACTGCCTCCCGCCCAAACTTGGCTCGCAGCTGTAGGGGTGCGTGGGAAGGGTGGGAAAGGGTTGGGAGCATGGGAAAGCGTGTGGGGAAGGAGCGTCAGCCTCAGTGCCGCCCAGAACCATCACTGCCTCCCGCCCAAACTTGGCTCGCAGCTGCAGAGGTGTGTGGGGTGGGGGGAGACAAAACAAGGGGGGTGAGCGACTAGCTCAGCATCAGTGCCGCCCAGAACCATAACTGCCTCCTGGACAGACTTGGCTCGCAGCTGAAGGGGCGAGTGGGGCGAGGGAGGAATGCAAAAAGCAGTCCTGGTGGTGAGTGAGAGGAAGGGAGAAAATGCGGAGGAGAGTGTGAGGAAGGTGAGAAGGGGAAGGAGAACGTGGGGAAGAGGAGACGGTGGAATAGCATGGTCTTGCACCATATCTGCTCACACCACCACACCTCCTCACCTCCGTTACTTCTCACACCATTATACCTGCTCGCACGACCATATCTGCTCACTCCACCACACCTCCTCGCTCCACCATACCTCCTCACACCTCACACCTGTTCACTCCATCATACCTCCTCACACCTCAAACTTCCTCATTCCACCAAACCTTACCTCCTCACACCACCATCATACCTCCTGAACGGCTTGCTCCAGCAGCTGCTGCTTCCTTGTGACTAGGTCCTTCTCACTCTTCTCCTCCACCTTCCCTCCTCTCCCTGCCTTTCCTCCTCACCATACCTCCTCACACTACAATACCTCCTCCCACCTCATACCTTCTCACACCACCATACCTCCTGAACGACTTGCTCCAGCAGCTGCTGCTGCTGTTGCAAGAATTCTCGAAATCAGGTTACCACCATACCTCCTCACCATACCTACCTCCTCACCATACCTCCGCACCACCATACCTCCTCATCACCATACCTCCTCACACCACCATCATACCTCCTGAACGGCTTGCTCCAGCAGCTGCTGCTTCCTTGTGACTAGGTCCTCCTCACTCTTCTCCTCCACCTTCCCCCCTCTCCCTGCCTTTCCGTCCCTCGCCTGCTGCACTGCTGCTGCCTTGCCAGTGCGCCGACCTGCACGGATCAAGTGCAGATGCAGTGACAGGGACAATAAGCAATGGGTCTTCATCCCTCTCCTCGCCCCTCGTGTGCTGCACTGCTGCTGCCTTGCCAGTGCGTCGACCTGAAAGATCATCAGCGCACGCATTATCAGCAAATAAATGGGCGCATGCATGATCAGTGCATGTGCATGCACACAGAGGCAGGCCAAAGTATCACCACACATCCATTCCTCTTTCTAGGGAATACATGCTGACGTGGCACTTCTGAACGTAATAACGGATCATTGCTACATCAATTCAGCTTCATGACGTGGCTGAATGAATTACACCACATGTGAATACAACCCAACCTATCTCACCTTTCGCTGAGCTGAATCTAGCAACAGAGAGCCCGCCATAAATGCCGCTCGTTCGGATTCCATCGCCACCAACTGCGATTGTCCCATTCCGAACCAAGCCATGCAGTTGAACCGAAGCAGCTGCCGAGCCTGCTGTGCCTACATGGCCTGCCGAACTAAGAGGTTCGGCAACAGCCCAGTGACCAGGCTTGCTGAGCGGCATGGAATTTGCCAAAGCCCAGGGTTGGTGGCGACAAGGTTCTTTACTGCAGTTGGCCACGTCAAATGTGGTCACGGCCACGTCAGCTGTGGCCCAGGCTGCATTGTTGATCAACATTTGTGTGTCCGTACTCAAGCTGCTTGTAAGCACAGGGATGTTACTGCTGGTAACCACAAGGGCGCTGCTGCTGTTGCTTCTATCTGTTTGCCTTGTGACTTTGTTACAAATGCTGCTGTCACCGTTTATGCTGACTGGACTATCCAACCCTAAAGAGCCACGCGTACAACCAATTTGACAAGCTGAGCCCTGCCACGTGTGTCCAAGGCATTGGCGGGCCCTTCTGCCTGAAAGCCGCCGCGCTAAAACGCCAAGACCAGACATGGTCTAAGAATCTCTACTATTTCACAAGCTTTAAACGCCTCTAGTGAATTAAAAGAGGTCCGTGAGAGGCGAAGAAACGCGCGAGTTACTCGATGCTGCTGCGACAGCTGAGACTCACATCTGACATCCCCTATGTTAGATCCCTAGATTGCGGTTCTGGGATAAACTACTCTCGGGTGTGTCCGAATGGTGGACAGCAGCGCAATTGTGAATCACACGTATAGAATCTATGAAACAAAACGGAAGCACAATGTGCCGGGAAGGGACGCACCAGCTCACAAGGTCAGCAGACAGAATGTCTGCGGGGGAAGACATGGACGAGGAAACAGATCCGCACGGAGCAATCCGTATATGCGGGTGAGCCGGGCAGTAACAACGATTGGTGGCGTCTTTATGACGATTCTGTCTTCAATCGGAAACTACACCTCAAATTCTATCTCTATATTTTATTGAATTAGGTTCTGTAACAGTTCTTGAAGGAAGGCTGTTTCATCTTACACACAATGAGACAAGTCCACCACATGAGAAAAACAATTTCCCAAAGGTGTGGCGCACGACATTGAACGCATTCGCAAAGCGCCAGCGGGAAGTGGCTGATAAGATTTGTGCTGAAATTCTCTTCAACCTTGGATCTTTCTCCTCACAGTACCGATCCTTCCAGTCAGCAGGTTCAACTGCCTCAACACCCAAGTCAGGAACCCGATCCTTGGACTGCATTCTATCCATCTGCATCCAATCAGGCACAAAAGTGGAAGCTCTCCTCCTGAACTTGGTCTTGAACTCCGGCCATGCCTGGTACTTGTAGTGGAAAAGAGCAGCACGCTTATTGCCCACATGTGCTGTGCAGTACTGATGCTCCAAGATTGTGAAGCGGTGTATCACATTGTGTAACGGAGGAGCTATGGCTTCAGTGAGAATAATTGACTTGTGACGATCAGGAAGCTTCAGCCTGCACGTGTATCCAGATACCACTCCCTTTTCTGGGTGTTCTTGATGACCTGATGGGCCAAACAAAAGGCCAGGTAGCGCAATCTGCCCAAGCTGTTGACACGACTCGTTTCTACCTGCGGCCTTCTTTGCTGCAGCATGCCCCTTAACCATACCTCTCACAAACTTGTTGAGAAGAAAGGAATACTGACTTCCAGCAGCGAACAGGCTCCGTGACTCAATCTCCTTCACCATCCGTGCCGGGAAGACAAACTCGTCCACGTCAAAGAACATGGCCCACGTGCAGAGCTTCTTGGCTTGCAGGGCACAATGAGAGAAACCGCCTTCCTGTGACTTGAGCCAGGGCCAGCTACGTATAGTGGCTGAAACTTGAAAGCCTCGAGCACGGCCGGTCCCCTGAGCTTCTTTGATGGACTTCCAAAGCCCGTCTTCACTGCCGTTGTCATACACAAAGAAATGCTCCACACCAAGAAATGCGTGGTACAGCAGCCACTCCCCCATGAACTTCGCGCTGTCAAGGACCATCGTGCATGCACACAGGTAGTACTGCTTCATGGGGGAATCGCCGATGGATGGCATACGGCTGGTGTGGGAATACCCGTTTCGAAGAACACTGCGCCCGCTTTGGCTGGCTGTAGTGGCTGTGGTGTCTTCGCTGTGATTGGCTACCTGTGGTGGCTCACCGGATACCAAGCTGATAAAACCGAGTGAGGAGTTGAGCCTACAAACAGAAGCAACAGACGGTAAAGCGTGAACGTATTGAGCTGGCTTGAGGGATCGGGCAGAGTGCAATCTCCTGGGAGAGTATCAAGGGAGCTGTCTCAGCTCCGTCCACCATGCACTTGACCTGACCGTGACTCCTGTTCTGAAGGTTAGTAATGCCTTTCGCCCAGACATATAGGCCTTCTGGTTCAGCTGCTGCAGCATACACTAATCTATCCCAGGACGCCTGATGAAGCTTGCGCGCGAGCAGATCTATGCTGTGTGTGTCGTAATAGATCCGCAGCAGGCTGGGTTCGGCGGAACCATCCGTTCCGTTGGCACGCGAGCAGATTGCATGGATGGATTGGCCCTCGAAGTACACGAAAGGAGCGTTGCTCCATGACGTTATAAAAGTGGCGTTTTGAGACGTCTCGAAAGTAGTAGCGTTGCTCCATGATGACGTTTCTCCCGGCGAAACGAATCCGCATTCCGCGAAACTAATCCGGCGTTCGGCAATGTTCTCGTCGATGCAGTCGCTGCTGTCTATTTGGAAAACTGCCAAAAGCCGGCCTTCTGGTAGCGTGACTGCCGTGAGCTCGCCCTTCCACTGGAAGTGAAGCTCCCCCTGCCGTGAGCTCGCCCTTTCACAGGCGACTCGCACAGGTTCTTGCGAATGACTGAAGCGACGAGAAAATAATGTCGTGAGCAGGCTCCATGCGATAACTGCAGGGAAACGGCCGAATTTAGAGAAATGTCCGGTGAACGTCAAGCGACGTCGCAACTAGAAGGACATGTATTGAAATCCGAATAGACTGATTTCGACTCGAATCATCGGATGGACTTCCCACGAAGAACACGCCAGGACCCTCAAAGGACCCATCTCGACTGCGTTTTGGAGGTTCGCTTTCTAGTGACGGCCAATCTCAGAGAAATGTCCTGCAGCGGTGAAACTACGTGACGAATAGATCTACTCACGCGTTAACAAACACACAGCAACGCTTCGGCAGAAAGGGACTGCACGGCGTGCAAGCTCCCCGGCAGCCGCCGGCTGCTTCGAACTTGCAGTTGAAGAAAGCGATGAAGTGCTAGGCGCACCGTTCGACGCTCGCGTTTCGCTGCCTGACCCCTCTGCCGACCGTCGGATGCGGATCAGTGGGTGTTCCATGGTAGAATGGAATGGCGTCGGCCAAGCGATGAAGTGCTAGACGCACCGTTCAGCACTCGCGTTTCGATGGTTGGACTAAAAATGACGAAAATGCCGAGGCGAGGGTTCTAGCACACAGACACAATTGACTCCCCCCCGCCCTCCATCCCTGGAGATTCCGAAGCCTGCTTTGCGAACTCGGACTGCAGACAGGCGAACAATCGGTTACCAACCTCAATTTCTCAATTGGTTGTCTGATTGGTCCGAATGTTCGTTTTCGTAACCTTGAAAACTTCGCAGCCTTCTTCCGCTCCCTCGTCATTCTCGAAGGCCTCTTGCTGGGGAGGCAAGAGCAAAGGACCACCGTCTGGAATGAGGCGAACACAAAACCTTTACACGCATCAAGGTTTCTTTCTGTTCTCGCTGTGTCTAGGCAGGGCTGTTCGTGTCGCAGGCTTCATTTATGCAGCGCGGCTAGGCTGTGCGACCGCAACATAGCGCACGCGTGCGGTATAGGCGAGCATTTTCAAGGTGCCTGTACACCTCTCTCATCCGCCACGTGTCTTCATTCAAGTTCGCTAGATCCGCCGCCATCGCGATCTCGATCCCACGACTCGAGATCAACCATATCTGATCGTCCGATGCTGTCTGGCCCATTAGAGAGAAGATCCAGTCAACGGTCCAAATCTCATCAACGCATATCCGATCAACGGACCAGATCCAGCAAAGGCAGATCTGCCAGTGAGACGGACCTTTCTGTGTCCAGTCATTGACGTCGACCGTTGATATCATTCGGCTTCTTTCGATCGTTGCTATGTCTCGATCGGACGGCGTGCGACACGCGACAAGGATCCTTCTAACGCGGATTCACACGTCATCATCGTCGTCATCGTCATCAGCAGCAGCAGCGTGTAATGGCGCCAGCATGCAAACCGCAGCGGCAGCGGCAAGAACAGCAGCTGTCAGCCGTCCTCTAGATGCTATCATTCGCCGCGTGCTCAACCTTGCCGCCACCGCCGCCCATTCTGCTGCTGCTGTTCCCTCCTCCTCCCTCTTCTCCTCCTCTTTCTCCTCCTCCTCCGCAGCTTCACTTGTTTCCACTCCCTCTGCCTTTTCAACTTCGCGGGCGCTTGTGTTTGGCTGCAGCGGGGGAGCAGGGGGAGGCGCGTGTGCTGTGACGCGAGCAGGAGGGAGAGGACGCGCTGCTGGTGCATGTGCAGGTGCAGGTGCAGGTGCAGCGAATCTGGACATTGGGGGTCTGAGATGGCTGAAAACGAGTGCGGGACGCGTACGCGCTGTGGGCGCGAAGGCAAAAGTTGGGGCAGGGGCGGGGGCAGGTGCAGTGCATGTGGACATTGGGGCGAGGGCCCGCGCGCGGCAGACGCAGCGAATGTGGACGCTTGTGATTGGCGGAGGCGCGGTGGCTGGGCTGGCCATATTCGCGATGAACTCGTTTCAAGAAAACTTGATGTTCTATATAACGCCCACCCAGGTGAGTTGGGTTTACTGTTACTCATCCCACGCCCCTTCTCATCTCCCTCATTCCACGCCCCTTCTCACCTCCCTCATCCCTCGCCTCTTCTCACCCCCTCATCCCACGTCCCTTTTCGACCCCTCATTCCACGTCCCTTTTCGTCCCCTCATCCCTCGCCCCTTCCCACCTCCCGTATCCCTCCCTTCTCATCTCCTTTCTTGTCATGCCCTTTCTCATCTTCCCTTTCAGGCTCTGGAAAAGTTCGCAGAGAACTCGCCATCAACTTCATCCCTCACTCATTCTCATTTTCCTCATCCCTCGCCCCTGCTCACCGCCCTTGCAGGCTCTGGAGAAGTTTGCAGAGAACTCGTCTGCCAACCGGTTCAGGCTGGGCGGGCTTGTGAAGGAGGGCAGGTGAGAGGGGAGAGAGAGGAAGGTTAGTGAGAGGGGAGAGAGGAGGGTTGGTGAGAGGGGAGAGAGGAGGTTGGTGAGGTGAGAGGGGAGAGAGGAGGGTTGGTGAGAGGGGAGAGAGGAGGGGATGTTAGAGGGAAGAGAGGAGGGCATGTGAGAGTGAAGAGAGGAGGGGATGTGAGATAAGAGAGGAGGGAATGTGAGAAGTGAGAGAGGAGGGGATGTAAGGGGGAATTGAGGAGGGGATGTGAGAGGGGAGAGAGGATGTTTGTTGGGAGGTGAGAAAGGAGGGAAAGTGAGAAAGGAGAGCAGGGGTGGTGGGAGGAAAAAGACGAGGGAGTGTGAGGATAAAGAGGAGGGCTGGTGTGTGGGCGGTTGGTGTGAGCCAGGCTTGTGAGAAGAGCGAGGGGCTAGTGGAGGGGGTGTTTTTTTTAGAATTCTCAAAAATACTCTGCAACATCTTGGTGTGAGCCAGGCTTGTGAGAAGAGCGAGGGGCTAGTGGAGGGGAGGGGACGGGAGAAACTTCAGTATCATTTTCCATGTCATTTCCATTCAGCATTTCGACCGGTTGTTTCTTCATTGCGTTTCTTCGTTGTCATGTGCGTTCCTTTGGAATGTGTGTGTCTCACTCTGCTCCCTCTCCCTTCACCTCACCTTTTGAGTCGACTCTCTCTGCTCCCTCTCCCTGCACCTCACCTCACCAGTGTGCGCATTCCTGCTGGAAGCATTGAGATGGAGTTTGTTGTCACTGACCTTGCAACCGATGTGAGTATAAGAGTGCAGAAAGTGTAACAGATGTGAGTATAAGAGTGCAGAAAGTGTAACAGATGTGAGTATAAGAGTGCAGAATGTGTAACAGATGTGAGTATAAGAGTGCAGAAAGTGTAACAGATGTGAGTATAAGAGTGCAGAAAGTGTAACAGATGTGAGTATAAGAGTGCAGAATGTGTAACAGATGTGAGTATAAGAGTGCAGAAAGTGTAACAGATGTGAGTATAAGAGTGCAGAATGTGTAACAGATGTGAGTATAAGAGTGCAGAAAGTGTAACAGATGTGAGTATAAGAGTGCAGAAAGTGTAACAGATGTGAGTATAAGAGTGCAGAAAGTGTAACAGATGTGAGTACAAGAGTTCAGAAAGTGTAACAGGCATGAGACTAAAAGTTTTCAATTTGTAACAGATGTGATTATTAGAATTTCCAGTCTGTAACAAATGTGAGGCCATGCAGACACTACCACTTTCTTGCTTGCTCTCTCACACCCGTTCTCTCCCTCCCTCCTTTCCCCCTCTGTCCCTCTCACTGCAGATCCTGGTGCGCTACAGGGTTGCCAGAGAGGCCCTCCGTGAATAGGTCTTGCTTTGCCTGACCTATTCACGGAGGGCCATTCAGTGGTGGCGGAGGGGTTTCTGCGGCCTCTCAGCCAAGCCAACACCGCTGCTTCCCTCATTGTTACATACTTCCTGTTCTTCTGTTCTCCCTGTTAATGCTGCATATTCTCGTGCGCTACAGGGTTGCTTTGCCTGACCTATTCACGGAGGGCCACTCTGTGGTGGCAGAGGGCTTTCTGCGCCCCCTCAGCCAAGCCAACGCAGCTTATAGAGAACCATAATCATCTTCCTTTTGAGTCGACTCAAAACTCAGCCAAGCCAACGCAGCTTATAGAAAACCATAATCATCTTCCTTTTTTCCGTGCGTTCACTACAGATCCCGGTCTGCTACAGGGGTGCTTTGACTGATTTATTCAGGAAGGGCCATTCCGTGGTGGCAGAGGGGTTTCTGCGGTCGCTCAGCCATGCCGACACCGCTGCCTTCTTGGATGCGCCACCTCATGTAAATAGAAGTGTTTTGAGACGTCTCAAAACCACCTCATCCCTTTTTTCTTCCTTCCCCCCTCCTGACTCCAGATTTTGGTACGTTACAGGGGTGCCCTGCCAGATCTGTTCAGGGAGGGCCAATCTGTGGTGGTGGCGGCGGGGTTTCTGCGGCCGCTCAGCCAAGCCACCACCCCTGCTTTCTTGGATGCGCCACCAGCCCTTTTTTCTTCCTTCCCCCCTTCCTGACTCCAGATTTTGGTCCAATTCAGGGGTGCCCTGCCAGATCTGTTCAGGGAGGGCCACTCTGTGGTGGTGGCGGCGGGGTTTCTGCGGCCGCTCAGCCAAGCCACCACCCCTGCTTTCTTGGATGCGCCACCAGCCCTTTTTTCTTCCTTCCCCCCTTCCTGACTCCAGACTTTGGTCCGGTTCAGGGGTGCCCTGCCAGATCTGTTCAGGGAGGGCCATTCAGTGGTGGCGGAGGGCTTTCTGCGGCCTCTCAGCCAAGCCACCACCGCTGCTTCCTGCACTGTCACACCTCTTCCCATCTTCCTTTCTCCCCCCAACCCACCCCTCCCCCGTTACACCAGATTTTGGTCCGGTTCAGGGGTGCTCTGCCTGATCTGTTCAGGGAGGGCCATTCCGTGGTGGCGGAGGGCTTCCTGCGCCCCCTGAGCGAAGCCAACACCTCTGCCTTCACTGGCAGCAGCATCGCCACTGCCAGCAGCAGCAGTGGATTTTCTGGGAGAGGGGCGACTGTACTAGGGGTTGCAGAGGCGGAGGGTGCTGTAGTGGAGAGGGGGATTGGGGAGGGGGGAGCGAGAGGGGAGGGTGGGGGTGTGGGGGAGAAGGGGGTGGGGGAGTGGGAGGAGGGGGAGGATGTGAGTGCGAGTGCGCGGAGTGTGGGGTACTTCTTTGCTGCGACTGAAGTGCTGGCAAAGCATGATGAGGTGAGTGGGAGAGGGCGAAGCATGATGAGGTGAGTGCTGCTGGGAAACACTACGAGGGGTAGCGAGCTTAGATGGCCATGAAGAGATGAAGGAGAATGCTGCTGGGTGCCTGTGGTGTGGCAAGAGCTCGGTGTGGGGGGTACTTCTTTGTTGCGACTCAAGTGCTGGCGAAGCATGATGAGGTGAGTGCCGGATGCCGGATGAAGGTTGAGGCTGTTTTAGGTTGTGCTCATGCCGGTATAAGTAAGGTCAGTCCTAATCTGTTCTCTTGGGTACTGTATCTAAATCAAGTGCCTAAAGTTTTTCTCTTTTCTTTTCATTTATTTTCTTTTCTTTTCTTTCCTTTTCTTTTGTCTTTCTCTTATTTTTTTCCTTACTGTTTCTGCACGTTTTTTCTCTTCCTTGTTTAGCATTGTGGGTGTTTAATGCGTTATCACTGAGCAAGATGACGTGTCCACCTCACTCTCTCCCTCCCCCCCCCTCCCCCCTCCACCCTTTCCCCTTATTTCTACCATAGAAACACATGCCCAAGGAGGTAGCAGCAGCTCTGGAGAAGAACCTGTGGGATGTCCCGTGATCTCAACATCCCGACCAATTTCCCACCTTACCCTCTCCCCACTTCCCCGCCCTTCCCCCTTTTTTCCTCTGCCTCAGAAATACATGCCCAAGGAGGTAGTAGCAGCTCTGGAAAGAACCTGTGGGATGTCCCGTGATCTCAACATCCCCACCAATTTCCCACCCTACCCTCTCCTTCTCTCCCCTGCCCTTCGCCCATTTTCCTCTACCTCAGAAATACATGCCCAAGGAGGTAGCAGCAGCTCTGGAGAAGAACCGAGCAGCAATAGAGGCAGCAGGGGAAGGGGACGACACGAGTGATGCTTTGAGACGTTTCATAACACTCCCCAACCCCCTCCCCCCCCTATCCTCTCCCCTTTCCACTGTAGAAATACATGCCCAAGGAGGTGGCAGCAGCTCTGGAGAAGAACAGAGCAGCAATTGAGGCAGCAGGGGAAGGTGACGACACGAGTGATGGGGAGGGGGAAGGGAAGGACGACGGGGAAAGAAGTGTGGGGGAGGCACAAAAAGGAAAGAAGTCATCGGTTGGAAGTGGTGGTGGTGCTGCTGGTAGTGCTGCGCTTGGGATGGGGGATGGTGCGAAGAAGCCTGGGAAGCTGAGCAAGCTTGGACAATCACCTAGTGTTGCTCAGGGATACGACATTCCTTCCTAATTACATCAAATGTTTCTTATACTGTAAATTTTGTTTCAATCTAATGGCGTTGGCTGGATTGGGGGCACACAAGCGAGTGTATGACAATTCACAATAACATCGCGAAACGATAGCCATGTACAACGGGCGATGCGGCAATCGCGTACGCGTGTGTCGCGTTCAAATCCATCCAGCCTGAACTGAACTCCACTTAAAGCTCAAGGCCCAAATTGCGGGCCGCGCGAGGCAAGTCTAGTAAGGTTGATCGAGTGCTGCTTTGCAGCTTTAGCCGGGCGAATTGTGGTTACGAAATGTACGAAGCCATCTGATTGGCCAGAACATTTGAGTCAGCGAATGGAACAGGTGGTGTGGGAAACTGGCAAGAGTAATATTTGTGCAATATGGGACTCGCGCAACCAAACCTGAGCGTCCCCTAGGCTTTGCTGAGTCAGCGAATTTTGTTTTGAGTGTGGCGAGAAGCTGGGCGAAACCAAACCCCTACACCCCTCAAACACCTCGACTTCCTACTCAGCTCCCCCACCACCCAAGGGTCAACTTTAGTAATCCTGAACAATTTGGGCCTTGAGCGTTTAGTGTGAACAGATCCAAATTCCAAGCTCTGCGGATTGTCTTCTGGTCATATGCTCCCACGATCTAGTGCAGTCTAGACCGCCATTGCCTCCAGCAGAATCTAGCGCAGATATAGTGCAGCCATGGCGGTGTTTATCACCTCCCAAGCCACCACCGCCATTGCTTGCCGCTTCTCCCTCCACCACGGCCGACCGTTGCCATTCCGTCGCTCGCTTGCGCTCCTCTCCTCGCCGAGGCGCGTCGCACTCACAACGAAATGTGCTGCCAATAGCAGCAGCAGCAGCAGTGTTCCTGCAGAGCAACAGCAGCATCTGTTCGCGGTGATCTACGAATACGTGCCGGACATTGTTACCCGTCGCGAGAAATTTCGCGAGGAGCACGTGCAGCTGTGTCGGTCGCTGGCCGCGGACGGGAAAATGGTCGCAGGTGCTGCGACTGGTAACCCTCCCACAGGCGCATTGCTGATCGTCCGTGCGAACAATCGCGAAGAGGTGGTTCGCGATCTAATCGAGGCAGATCCGTACGTTACCAAAGGCTTGGTCGTGCGACATTCAGTGGAACCATGGACCCCTGTGGTGGGGACAATGGCGGAACCCCTCCGAAGCGTTTGTTGATCCTCACGTGTCCATCAATATAAAAATACATCCAAGTTTTCGGGCTCAGGATTGGTTCGCCAGTTGGTTCGAGCCGGATCTTGCGCCAGTACTTGCTGCTTCAGTTCGGTACACTCGCGAAACTCTCGGGAACGGTCCTAGGGCGAACGGAAGGTCTGATGTGATGTGATGTGATGTTGTTGAAGTCCCTCGTTAAGATCACAGAAGCTGATCGTGAGAGCCCACGCTCAGCTTGGGAAAAGCATGCAGGAGCGACGAGCGGAAGGAAAGAGGGGGAGCGACGGGAAGAGAAGGCTGACGGAAAGAAATGGTTTGGTTGGAGGGCAAAGAAATGAAATAAGGTAAAAGGTGGTAGTGTAGTGGAGGTGTCAAGGGTCAAGACTCAAGCAGCTATTTGTTGTACGGTAGTCTTTGGAGTTTGATGGCAATGGCTGGCGCTCAGGCCCTATCAATCAAGTGGACATTGCTTGGGTGAAGTGAAGCCATAAATCCACTGAGTCATGGTAACTCAGGGCAATGCCAATGACCGCTGCTGGATGTGCCAGGGCAGGAGCGGTTTTCGTGCCAGTCGTTGCATGTGACAAGATTAGAAAGCGAGAATGTTATGAAGGAGAACAGAAATTAATTGTGGCATTGCTACGTTCTACTGCATATTGATGTATAGATACAATTCTGCCTGCCATGCCAGTCCAAACTCAAAGTTTTATTCGTTTCTCTCTGGTACTACACAGTGAAACTTCAAGAAACAGACTCAGCGTGGCCATCCTGCCTCTGCCTGTGACAGGGTGTACTCTGCCAGCTGGCGGATGACGTCAGCACTCAGGCGCGGGCCGAACGTGCACTGCCCCCTCGGTTTGCAGTCCTCCCCATAGCCCTGGGATGGGAGGAGAAAGAGGGGAAAGACAGGACGGGGAAAGGAGAGGGTGGGGGAGAGAGGGAGGAAAGAGATAGTCTTGCCCCAGAGGCAACCGTGCACTGCCAGCGCGGCTTGCAGTCCTCCCCGTAGCCCTGGGAGGGAGATAGGGCCGGGGGAGGGAGGGTTGTGGGTGTGGGGGGGTGGGTGTGGGGGGGAGAAAGGCAACCGTGCACTGCCCCCGCAGCTTGCAGTCCTCCCCATAGCCCTGGGTAGGGAGAGGGTGGGGGAGAGAGCGAGGAAAGAGACCGGGGGCAGTGAAAGTTGGGCCTCAAAGCCAATGCACTGGCCACACAAATTGCGATCCTCCCCACAGCCTTGGGAGAGTTCGATGGGCGTGTGTCGGAGGGTGAGGGTCGATCCGGAGTAGTCTCAGAAAAGACCTACAAAGAAGCGGACAAGGGAGGGGGAGGGGGCAGGAAAGGGGTAATGGGGATGGGAGAATGGGCGAAGGGAGAGGGGAAATGGGAATGGGAGAACTGGCGAAGGGAATGGGGAAATGGGGATGGGTGACTGGGCGAAGGGAGAGGGTAGTTGGGATGGGAGATTGAACAGACTGAGACGTACAAACTGACCTGAAGCTCTCTGACACATGTTCTGGGTACAGGCAGACTGGAGTTTACCAGGGATACATCATTTTTTGAGACGTCTTAAAACTACACCTCTGATGCATGTATGGGCAGACCGAATTTTAGCTGGGACACATGCTCAGATTAGTATACTAGTGCTATAGATCGTTACTCGTAGCAGGCTTGCTGCGTTCCGAACCCATCGAATCTCAACGGACACATGCTCAGATGTCGTGCTGATATGTATCCGTGGTGACGGAAATGCCCTGATGCGTCCTCCATAACCCTAAAGCTGGCATGATACTAGAGTCTGAAATGCTCTGATACCTATGTTGGATGCTTACAGGCATGCGACCAATGCCGAACGCAGTGACTCTTGCAATGTCGTCGGCTGAGGTGAGCCCGTTCCTGAAGCAAGCACGGGAAATGGGGGGTGGGGCAGGCAGGCAGAAGAATGAGGATGAGGTGAATGGCCTTCAAGGAAACGGCTGAGTGAGTGCAGTGACTCTTGCAATGTCATCTGCTAAAACAGAATTTGTTCTTGAAGCGAGCATTGGGATTGACAAGTGGGGCTGGGTGAAGTGAAACGTGAGGCTTATCTGAGGCGCTTCAAAGAATGAGACAAAGTCTATGGTTCTGGAGCGAGGGCGGAGGTTAGTGAATTCTGAAAGGCTGTGGAGTTTTGAAATCTCTCACACAGCCCAGGGAGAAGCAAGTTACTGACTGAGCTAGAAAAGGCCATAGCCTTTCTAAAGGAGCAGATTAAGGAGTGATAAGATGACAGAGCTAGCAAACAGTGTGCAATGGAGGGAGAGTGAGAAGCGTTGGAAAGGAGGAGGTGCTGCGAGTGAGATGCCTGCACTCTCCCTGGAAAGGAGGAGGTGCTGCGAGTGAGAGGCCTGCACTCTCCCTGGAAAGGAGGAGGTGCTGCGAGTGAGAGGCCAGCACCCTCCCTCAAGGAGGAGGTGCTGCGAGTGAGAGGCCAGCAACCTCCCTCAAGGAGGAGGTGCTGCGAGTGAGAGGCCAGCACCCTCCCTCAAGGAGGAGGTGCTGCGAGTGAGAGGCCAGCACCCTCCCTCAAGGAGGAGGTGCTGCGAGTGAGAGGCCAGCACCCTCCCTCAAGGAGGAGGTGCTGCGAGTGAGAGGCCAGCACCCTCCCTCAAGGAGGAGGTGCTGCGAGTGAGAGGCCAGCACCCTCCCTCAAGGAGGAGGTGCTGCGAGTGAGAGGCCAGCACCCTCCCTCAAGGAGGAGGTGCTGCGAGTGAGAGGCCAGCACCCTCCCTCAAGGAGGAGGTGCTGCGAGTGAGAGGCCAGCACCCTCCCTCAAGGAGGAGGTGCTGCGAGTGAGAGGCCAGCACCCTCCCTCAAGGAGGAGGTGCTGCGAGTGAGAGGCCAGCACCCTCCCTCAAGGAGGAGGTGCTGCGAGTGAGAGGCCAGCACCCTCCCTCAAGGAGGAGGTGCTGCGAGTGAGAGGCCAGCACCCTCCCTCAAGGAGGAGGTGCTGCGAGTGAGAGGCCAGCACCCTCCCTCAAGGAGGAGGTGCTGCGAGTGAGAGGCCAGCACCCTCCCTCAAGGAGGAGGTGCTGCGAGTGAGAGGCCAGCACCCTCCCTCAAGGAGGAGGTGCTGCGAGTGAGAGGCCAGCACCCTCCCTCAAGGAGGAGGTGCTGCGAGTGAGAGGCCAGCACCCTCCCTCAAGGAGGAGGTGCTGCGAGTGAGAGGCCAGCACCCTCCCTCAAGGAGGAGGTGCTGCGAGTGAGAGGCCAGCACCCTCCCTCAAGGAGGAGGTGCTGCGAGTGAGAGGCCAGCACCCTCCCTCAAGGAGGAGGTGCTGCGAGTGAGAGGCCAGCACCCTCCCTCAAGGAGGAGGTGCTGCGAGTGAGAGGCCAGCACCCTCCCTCAAGGAGGAGGTGCTGCGAGTGAGAGGCCAGCACCCTCCCTCAAGGAGGAGGTGCTGCGAGTGAGAGGCCAGCACCCTCCCTCAAGGAGGAGGTGCTGCGAGTGAGAGGCCAGCACCCTCCCTCAAGGAGGAGGTGCTGCGAGTGAGAGGCCAGCACCCTCCCTCAAGGAGGAGGTGCTGCGAGTGAGAGGCCAGCACCCTCCCTCAAGGAGGAGGTGCTGCGAGTGAGAGGCCAGCACCCTCCCTCAAGGAGGAGGTGCTGCGAGTGAGAGGCCAGCACCCTCCCTCAAGGAGGAGGTGCTGCGAGTGAGAGGCCAGCACCCTCCCTCAAGGAGGAGGTGCTGCGAGTGAGAGGCCAGCACCCTCCCTCAAGGAGGAGGTGCTGCGAGTGAGAGGCCAGCACCCTCCCTCAAGGAGGAGGTGCTGCGAGTGAGAG